CCCCCTCGTCGAATCCTTCTTACAGGCTATAAAGAAGGATTGGGGGGGGGGGTATCGTCGGGGCTCGGAAAGCAATCATTTCAATAATAATACATCCTCCCCCGAATAAGGATAATACCCCCTCGCCCGCCTATCGGGGCGGTCTGCTTTAGACTGGGTATCCCGACTGCCAACACCCCGGGAGAACGCAGTTGCGCTTGAGAGGGTGTGCCTCAAATCTGTATGTAGGTGGCTTTATCAGTTGGGTCAAGTAGATGGAACATGATGATTTGGCCGGGTATTTGGACATGTTGCTGAAGACATGATGGACTGTATGATAATGTACGAAACAAATAAATATATATACTTTGTGTTCATACCAACTATACATACCAACTCACATGTCAATTTTTGAAAAGCATTGCCACTTTCTAAGAGGACATTTGTTCAAAAACTTTTATTGCAAGTTCAACTTCAGTGTCAACTGAGTGTGTTTGGCGCCAAGACGTTTGACCTTGGCCCGACTACAAGATTGCATTGTTCCTCTCCTTAGGTGCTGCTGGACATCACCAACGAGGATGCCTGGTTTGAAGCAGGCCTGAATCTGGAGCAGTTCGTTGTTTTAGGATGCTTTAAGGGTTTATTATGCTACTATATGTTTTGTCCCCCTTGGAAGGCTGCCCCTGAAAACCTCTGGTTGGTAGAGGATCAGTGTTGGACTCACGGTGCGATTCGACCGGGGTGCCATTAACTTGGGAGTGTCGATTTCATTGAGTGCATTGGGTATCACTGTATCACCAATAGGTTTTTACAGCGAGGTGGAATCGTGTTCGTCCTTTCTTTTTTGTTTCGTGGTCCGTTTGTTTCTTGTGCAGTGCCATTTGGTGATACATATGCATAGAGAGGGAGGGAGTGTAAATTTATTTGTATATATATATATATATATGTATGTATAATATACACAGATAGCGTAGTGTTTGGCTGATGAAACATGAAGTCAGGATGCGTTTCTGAAGGATGCGGGAAGCTCCCCGATGGCTCACGAATGGATCTGGTGGATGTACTCCTTGGTGCAGCAACCTTTCCTTGTCTTCCACAGGGTCATGTCACTTTTCCATGAGGTGGGGGAGTATATCTCAAGAAGTCTCCTTCCTGACGCCCGTGCATCCAAAGCCTACCAGCAGAGGTTGAACCCTATAGACTATCCTATAGGTACCCCTGTAGGGTCCTATAAGGTCACTTAACCTCTGTAGGTAACCCAAGCCCAGGAAGGTTGACCTGTTTCCTCGCCATGTTGTTTCGCCTCTCATCTCAAGGCCACATGTTCCCCGAGGGCGTTGTTGCTGTAGCGATCCGCAGTGCAGAGAACTTGGCCGCCAAGGAAAGGGGCCGCGATTTATGGCGGGCTGTGGGTTGCAAGGTGGGGTTTGGCTAGAAGTAGACCACCCAAAGCGTGGCACATTCCCTGACACAATCATGTGAGTTGATGGCATGGCCCTTTGCACGATCATTCTCCAAATGCCAAACAGGTGGTGAACTCCATTACTATTTTCGGACAGTGTACGTGGACACCCCAGCACTCCATTCTGGGCTCAACCAGTTTCCAGACATTCCCGGGTTCAGCTATTTGGGGTGTGCCACTGATATGTTGAAGTCAATTGGCATGTTGGTTCACCTTGCGTCCATCAGCCTTTCCACAGGTGTTTATAATGGAGAGACTTCCATCTGGAGGTCTCCTCAAGTGCGAGAAAGTAATGAACTTCCACCAAAAAGAGTACTGTAATTATCTCATGAGGGTCTTTTTAGGTGATGATGCTGGAGAAGGCATGACTTGGAAGACATCAATGTTCATGGATGACTTGAGTACTACAGCCACTGCACCGCGCCGGTTCGCGCCGCTTCGGTCGGTCAGGACATGGCCTTGCCCTTCGGCTTGTCGACGCCCAGCTCCTTGGACTGCGCGGGGGGCGGTCCGGTGGGTGTCAGCTCCTGAGCCCTCAAAGGAATGCCGCGAAGGAATGCCGAAGTTCGAGGCTTTGGTCCAAAAAATGAACTGTCCTGTTTTGGAGGTTTGGGGCACCGAAAGCTTCAGCCGATTCTGCTCATTGTGCACAGAGTCAGAGACAAAGAGCATATGAGAGCATTCAATTTGTTCCTATGACGTTTCATCCATATTTGCAGATGGTACCATCATGGAACTTGCCGCACTTGCCCAACCAAATCCCAGGTCCAAACATTGTCAAAGTGTTGATGCTTTGCAAATGTTTGCAAGATCCCTGATCAACAGACTGCAGCATCCATCATCCAACAAGTTTGATTAGATTAAAACCCTTTCCGAGGCCAGAAAGTCACGCAAAAACGATTCAAAGGCCACATGTACACAAGGAATGTCCAACCCAGTATGGTACCCAGAACATATTATAACTGCAGTCAATCATTCCCGGTTTCGAAGGGTGCGCCGCGCATCATTGAACCCTTCCCACCCCCGGTTGCACCCTCGGCCCTGGCCGTTCAGAGGTTCCGACCCCTACTGCGAGGTCACCTTGGGCGTGAGTCGCTGGCGTGAGGGCCTCGGTGGCCTCGGCCTCGACTGGATTGGTGAAGTTTTGGACTTTAAAACCACGAAACTTGCATTTTTAATACGGAGTCACGGGTGCTTTTTTTGAGGGGATGGAGGGTGCTTTGCATGCCTGCATGATTTTCATGTCGGGTGCATAAAAGGGTGCAAACACCTATCCAATTGCTACCGACTTGTATGCTACCGCAGACATGTGGATGTGGGCAGTCAAAATGTGTGTTTTCAGACGCTTTCACTTGATTTCAAATCACTATGTCCCTCTCTAATTAGTGATTATAGACACATGGATTTGTTGACCGCCAGACGTCCCTTTGACTGAGGCACACCAGTGAGGCCACAGAATTTGAATCCCAAATGGGAACCTTCAGATGCTTGGCCAAAGAAATAGGAGGGTTTAGTCGGGTTTAGTAGTAGGCGTGTTGTCCTGGAGTTTTGGTCCAAGAGATGATTCTACTCAAACATGTTTGGAGCTGATGAAGTGGGGGGAAGCTATAAGGTCTTCGACATACGGTTGCATGGATGTTGTATTGAATCATGTGTTTAGCTACAAACCCCTACGGTGGGTGGGGAACGATTTGATGTCTCACCCCGTTTCCACCGGTCGCCCCTTTCACACGATTTGAAGGTGTTTCACCTTGCTTTGAATGTCAATGACCTTGCTTTGAATGTCTGCGCCCCTCCACGGGTCAATAGCTATGTGCTTGTTGTTCCTGGCCATTCTTTTGGTGACCCGGTGACCCTGTGTCGTCTTCCGAGTGTTCTGCCCCGCCGTGCCCCGCCGGTTTCGCCCGAAAGAAAAGGAAGCGACCCACCAGTTCCTGGTGCACGCACGCAGCGAACAGCTGCCTGGCTGGAGCGAGGTGAAGCGAAGCGAGGCGAAGCGCCCCAACGAGCCATGTACTGCTGGCATCTTAAAATTGAATTTAGAGAAGACATCTACATATATATATATAATGCATGTGTATACACAGGAAACCCGTAGGTTTAGGGGTGAAAGACCATGGGTTTGCTGTATATAGATGTGTTTATACAGTTACCCTGAGAACCTTTGGACAACAGCGACAGCAGTTGGTTTTCTTTAATTTTTCCTGACTCACCCGGAATCGGCCTGTATAGGCCTGTGAGGTTTTGGCGATTCCGGGCCCCTATGTTTGAGCCATATCCCTGGTATGGAGGCTATTGACAGTGCTATGCAACCTGAAAACACCTTTACACAATTCGGAACACAGATCGATGAAATTGTCCTTTGTCCAAGTCACTCAAACCAGCTTCGGGGCATGTACCGCTGACAACCCACAGGTGCGGGTGTGCAGTGGGTCAGAACGGAGCAAACCATTGAAGGGACAATCGTTTCGCCGAAAGGATTCGCATGCGGGGTTGGATGTAGGAACGCCAGAAAGATTTAAGCAAGGGAAGCTTACCTTACATCATGCACCTTTTCAGCTTTGGCTCAATTTCTTGTATGTGTTTTTTTTGTATGTGTTTTTTTTGCATCCACGCTCTACCAAGTCAATCCTTTCTCACCAAGGCAACTACTCCTTCACTTCTACGATGAGAACCCATATACAGAGGACGATGTGTTCAGGGCATTGAAGGGCGCGCGGGCGCCAACCCGTATGGGCGGCTTTCCGGTGGGACCAAGTGGGTCCACCGACTGAGCTGAGCTTTGTTCCTGACCGATGTCGACGGCGTTCGATCTTCGTCCGTTGTGGACGCGGAGCTGAGGAAGGTCCACCACTTGTTGTGCAAGTGGTGCATGGAGCGTTCGAGCACACAGACTGGGAAAAACCAACTTGGATGTGCTTGGCGCTTCGTTTTCGCTCTGAAGTCTGCTTTACAGAGTCAATCTTTGGGAACTTCTTTGGGAGTATGCTTCTTCTTTGACTTTCTGACTCACTAACCTGGAAGTGGACACCATGTTCTTTATGTAGAGGAAAGTCGTTGTCTCAGGCTGTCAGGGGTCCATCATGTCCATCCACTTCCATGTCGTACATCTTCTGCACCGGACGGTGCATCCCAAACGGATTGGGACCGGGTCGAGCAACGAAAACCGCAACGAAAACCTGTCCCCACAAAGCGGTACTCCACGGCTGGGTTGATTTGCCAAAGACGGAGACGTTTTGGGTCGGCATGTTCAGGCCCTTGAAGAAATTCCCGCAGAATCCATCTTGTACCTTGGAACATCTTGGAACGAAGCTCATCGAAGTTCCTTTTGGGGGGGTTAACAAATTGGAACATGCCGGAACTATGGGTTTTGCTTGCAATGGGCATTCCGGTGCCACCCACCAGGTAGCGACCTGTGGGCGTTTTCGGCAGCTCACCGCAACCGCGCCAGGACGTGTCTTTGGGCGCCTGGGTCTTCATTTCGTAATGACTTGGACCCTGGAAGTGGCTACAGAAATGCCTAGACTCGCTTAGACAAGTCCAGAGTGACTCCGGAGTGCTCATCGAGTTGTTGCTGGTGGAGTTTTCACTCCGGAGTGAACGTGATCGAAACGTGCTTTACCAATGTTTACCAGCAACAGCGGACCGGAAGGGCCTATGTACACCAAGAAGTGAAGGAAAAGCAAAAGGAACAGACGTCAAGTTCATCGAGATGTAAAGATTCGCCATTGCCCTAGGTTCATGATGGTCCATGACTATTCATGACCCATCGTTTTTACTCGAGCCTTTGGTTGAAAAGAATCAGGATATATTTTATACTATACAAACCATATAAATATATAAGTATATAAATATATGATATAATATATATGGTGTGGGTGTGTCCCATTACCTGTACCAGTCAGTAAACATGTATTGTCTTTTTTGAACAAGGCCTTTACTAACCATCATCATCCACTGTTACAGGTAATAGGATAGACCCAATATATGGTGATCATTTGCGATGTGGATGCGTTAACATGCGGTTCGTGGTCACCATCTCAGAATCGATTGTCAGGGACAACCTCTTTGGGAAGGATCGGTGGACGGAGTTGTTTGTCCGGATCGCAGAGGGTGTTTGATTGTGTGTGCGGCGCTTTTTTCAATATGGGTCTATTTGATGGGGGTTCCGAAAACTGGTCATCGTGGCCTGAAACTTGGCTATTGGACCAGCGGCGAAAGAGATCTTGGCCCAGGCTATGTGTCACTGCCAGTTGGACAGCTCCCCTCAACAGCACTGGCATCTGAGCCAGAGCAGGAGACGATGACTGTTGATTAAGATCTTCCGTTGACAGCGGATAAGGTGGGAAGGCGTGTTCTACGTACGTTCATATGTCTACGAACCAGAGGGCACAGCGTGGGACCTGACGGCTGTCCACTTCTGATGTTCAGACCCTTACTGTATATATAAGTCAGTCCTTCATGATCCTTAGGTCCTTATTGTGGGAAAAAAGACTGAACAAGAAGAGGACCCCCTGCAACAATCCTGAGTAAGTGGACGTCTTGGCCCCTTAGAACAGTGCTGGTGCCATCCATTTCCATGTTTTGCTGGAAATTGAGCTGGTGTTCGGAGCATTTCAGTCGGGTCCTTTACCGAGAAGTTCCTACAAGTCTGCAACCATTGAGTCTCAATGGGATCATTGCCGCCAAAGCCACCAGCCCGTTGGTCATCTCTTTGGTGTTTTTTGCAGCTGCTGCCCTTTCAGGAGATGACGCTGCCCTTGAGTCTGCAAGGATCAGTTCACTTTTCAGCCTGTTTTTCAGTCTCCCGGCGAGTGCATGGGTGGGTGATGGGTGGCTCAGAACTGGGCATGAACTGGACGAAGCCCCCGACATCGGCTTCCAAATAGAAACAAGACCTGGGACTTCTGATCAAACCACTCACACTTTTGACCACTGAGTCTCCGTACTTAGATCTTTTTTCTTGTTTCGCTGTCCCTGTGGTCAAAGAGAACACAGGTCGCCTTCTTAGGTCGCCGGACGCTCGCGCGGCCCGGGCCATGCGAGACCGTTTTCGTCTTTGGCGGACCGGGCCAAAGCGATTCTGACAGAAACACGGGCCATGGGCCATCTGTTTCACTGCTCACAGTTTCAAGGATGACAGGTCATGAATATTTTTGGGGGGGGGGTGTTGGGAAAACTTGGCAACTTGTTACAAACGAGTGGGGGCACCAATCAGACCTTTTTTCGCCAAGGAAATTGCGGCCTTGGTGAGTTTTGCAACACTTAGTGAACACGAATTCGCCAGGTGCTCATGCTTTTGAAATTCAAGCAGTTGCGGTGAGACAATGACGCCGGATTATGTGTTAATAATGCGTGTGTTTTTCGCTCCTTAATTGCACCAACATGATCCAACATGTTTATGTTTTGTTTTGCTATGAATTTGTTGCAAACAAATGACCTAGTGAAATGCCAGTGAATTCACCAACTAAGTTTTCACCAGCTGTTGACCAAATGTTAGAAATTCACCAATCCTTCAATTTCTTTCAGAGGGACGTATAAACCATGTACTGTAACCAACCACAAATTATATAAGCCTTTGGTCAAACACTGAGGGTGGACGGAGGTTCTAACGGTGTAGAAGCCATCAGAGCGATACCGCAACAGAACATACCGATGTTATTTGCAACTTGGATATCTAGGCCTGGGTCCATTTCGTCATGCATTTCTTGTGCGACATGGCCCATACAGTGGGAAGGACTAAGGACAGGGGTATTTGATGGTATTTCAACATGTCGCGGAACTGAGCTTGCATGATCAATTAGGTGTGAATAGGTGTGAACGGTGATGCGTCGCAGATTTGGGTGATCACCTTGCCCTGCGCCGAGTCGACTGAGGAGCTTAAGCTGGATGTGCCTTGGCAGTGACAACTCCGCTCTGTTGAGCGAGATTGGGAGGCAAATGTCAACCTGCAAAGTTCATGGCACCCCGGCAACTGTCAGTTTGAGCTGTGTAGCCTTCCGTAGCCTTCTAGTCAGGGTGCACCAACACACCATCCACGCAAAGCATCTCCCCAACCCCTTTGAACAAGCAGACCCAAAAGAGATTCTCCTTGCCAGCATCTTGACAGCGATCAGAATATGCTAGCCCCATGGAGAGATTGGAGAGGAGATAGGATGGACATGTGATCTTCATCCCCGATCCACACAGAATTTGTGATCTTCATCCCTCAGGAAGCCAACCTCCGGCGGCAGCTCCGCTGTTTGGATGATGAGCGGTCGCGAAAGCGACGGGCCTTTGTGGTCATGGTGGCCTGGAGTGTCGTTGTGGGCTTGAAGAGTCCAGACATTTAACGAGATGATTTGTCTCATCCCAACCCACCTCAGGCACCTCCTTCACAGGGAGGTGGTGCATCCGCAGAAAGTTTGGATTTTGGAGGCTACCAAAATCCTCGTTCTCACTGCACCATACGAGCGGTTTTCTCACAAATTGGGGTCCACAGCCTGGCAAGTTTGGGTCAGTGACCACAGACCCACCTTCCTTTCTCCATGTCTTCCGCTCCCTACTGCTTTGAAAGTTGGAAGTGCGTCTATGATCTGCCACTCCTTGAGCAATATGATTCAATTATTCCCTTGTGGGAAGAATGAAGGGGTCGATTTGGCACGATGCTCCTATTGGTTGTATACTTGGGGTATCTTGGGGTATCCCTTCTATCAATCAGCCAGCCAACAGTAAAATGCCGGCCTTGTGCGAAAGAGATCTCTGTGTCCGAAAGCAAAGCGGATTCTGAGAGAAGATGCGAGACTATGGAGAGAAGAATATGGAAAGACCATGAGAGAATATGAGAGACCTGACTTTTGTCACACATTTATGGCTCCGCTGGGTCGCTGGGTCTCGGGCTGCCACGAATGGGCCAAAAGGTGAGGGCTTGTTTTCTAAGGATATTTTCGGGGGACCTGTGTTACAAGTGACTTGACCTAGGGTTTGTGCCAAAAGAATTATGCATCATAGTGCTAGACACCATGATCCATTTTTGCTGAGTTCTCGAACTATCAGCGGGAAGCACAACCTACACCGGCCCGAATTGCACTCGTAAGTGTACGAGTTTTGTACCCACACGTTTTCTTCGACAGGCGGATGAGCTCCATCCCGATCAATACCGAACCCAGATTGGGGAAACGTGGCAGGTGGACATGAGTCAAACATCCTCCCTTCGACCCGTCTCCTTGTTATGTACGACTTGGGTGTGGCCGGTCGCGTCGACCGCTGCGAAGACGAGCAATGACTTAGGTGGGCGTCGACCGCTGCATTTTTTCAGGAAGTGACGCTGGGAAAGTCAGAGATTGGGACCGGTGTGGGGCCACATTTTTACGTTCAAGATGACTGTTCAGTCTGAACAGGTTCAGATTTGATTTATGTGAATGAAACCTCCACGAGATTGCAATGGTTTAATCAAAGGATATCGAGATATCGAGATGCCTGATAAACCCTCTTGAGGTGCTGTTGTTTTGAGCAAGCTATACTCTGGCTTGGAGTGACCCTCCCCAAGAGGTGCATCTTGAATCGTGCAAACCAGTGCTACACCCCCCTCTGGAAGGTTGTTGGACTTCCCTTCTCTGCTTCAGGACCTGCAAAGATGGAGTCGTTTTTGGCCAAGATGTTTTCACGGTCAGAGAGAGACATGCAATGGCCTCCAACCTAATAATATTAATAATTAGCAATCAGAACCTAAGAGCGATCGCCTTCAACCTAATAGCGATGGCCATCGCAATTGGTTTCCGCAAGAATCGAATCTTAGTTCAACGAGTGAAACAGGCTTTGTTTTGACAAGCTGTGCAGGCCGCAGGGAAATCTAAATGCTTCATTCAATGTACACCAGTACCGCCGCACGCGAGCAGATCGTTGCTTGGTTTCGGAATTGTATTCATATCCTGCTGGAAGTGACGTGCCCTCTATTGGTTTGATAAGCTGTACGCTGTAGCAATGTCATTTGTGTTTTTTCCGTACGCGCATTGGATAAGTGCACGTGCACAAAAATATTTATATATATATATATATGTATTATACATTTATGAATATGGTACATGATGGTGCATGTGATAAGTTTAACAACTTGGTTGGATATGCATACAGTGACCCCCAAATGCATACACAACCAAGTTTTTTCTGAGTATGTGTTGAAAACTGTTTAGGTCCAATTGGGGACATCACCATACATTGATTGACAGCTCTTCCAAGAAAACACATATGTTTCTTTGCATGTGTGGCTGCATGGTTGGATGCTTTTCTGACATATGTTTGAAACCAAATTCTATTATTCTGAGCTCGAATTCGGACTTGTGTCATCCCGGATTTACTCCCCCGCAAACTAACATAGAACATCATAGAACCTGAGATCATTGACCTGTGGAAGGACATGTTCCTCTGAGAACCCAGTGGTTTTGGGGTTCCATGCCAGTCTGGGGAGTAGTGGAATCACTTTTTTCCCAATGGAATCGATCCAAACACCCGGCCCAGGAAGACGCCAAGCCACGAGGCTTCCTTTGCAAGGTCTCCTGTGAGGCAGGTGGATCCGGCCCGGCCCAGAGCCGGTGCCTTCACTGAGAGGCCTTGCGGCCTTCCCATCCTGAGGGAAGGATGGGAAGGTATGGTTGGTGAGTTGATGCAGATATGTTTGTAATAGTGAAGGATTTCAACATGCAGTTCACCTTTGGTCCTACAGCTGCTTGGATATTTCAAGATCGTGGTGTTTCCACAAGTTTTCCTTCGAACCACTGTGGGATATTCTGGTCTTTACCAAGCATGGTGCTTTATAGGTTTCCCCTCAAGGGCTCAATCAATCTTTGAAGAGACTTGTCCAATAGTCCATGAGTGTGACAGCGCCCCTGTCCCACAATGCCATGCAATGTCAGGGTAAATGTGTATATAGGGAGATTCTGCAGAGCTACTCCAGGAAGTCTCGGACCATGAGAGATCTGAACTTGGGCCACTCCTGAAGCTTCAAACCTAGAAGCCTGCAGGTTTTGGACATGCAAAGTCCCAACTGGCCAATTCCACCACAATCGACAACCATCCAAAACCATCGAAACTGTTTGTCTTTCATCACCTCAAACTTTGCATGAACATGGGCTAGCTAGCTGAACATCAACCTTGATTCCACGCTCAAGTAATCACGCGTCCCTTGGCCTCCGCCCGTCTTCACCAGGAGCACGAGGAGACGTTCAAGAGCCGCGTGGCGCGGAAGAGGGGCCGCCCCTTGGTCCAAGCAGCGCAGCAACGGTCCCGAGCGACAGCGATCGACGGTCGACGATGGGTTCGGCGGGTTCGCTTTCTTCGGAGGGTCCTTCATCTGAGAGGTCCGAAAGGGTATAAGTACCACCAATAAGTGTAATATATATATATACGTTACATATGATTATATATGCCACCAAGAAGTGCAATACCACTTATATCCGATCCAATAAGGTTTGTATCGGAAAGTGTTGAGACTGGCTGATCTTGGGCTGCACACGTTGCCACTTCTTGGACCACGGGTCTTGGCCGTGCCGCTGGCCGGTGGGGGTGATGACTTGCAGATGACCCTGTGGACTGTGGCAGCCGGTCTGAGGAAGATTGACCGGGTTTGGTGGGGGGATTGGCATTGCAGGGGGTTCAGCTTTCCATTTGAGGCACTGGCAGTGGTTGGGTCACTCACTGGGACACAGGATATGGTGATGCCCGCTTTGGAGATGGTCGAGGTGCAAGATCCATGTTTGGTCCTGGAGGGTCTTTAAATCGAGACACTCTCCAATTTCAGGGCTAACAAAGTAAAGGCCGTATGCGGCTTTCACACTCCTTGAGGAAGCCTTGAGCAGTTCAAAGTGTGTGTTCAGTGATTGAGATTGTGATCCAGGTTTATAGCGTGCATCCCTGCAACAGGTCGGTAAAGACAATCACTTTTGGGGGGATATGCAGTTTGCCACCTAACCATATGCCATAAGCATCATCCTCCATTGTTACGACACAAATGCCCAACACATTGAACATTTACTAACCATAATCCATTGTGATCAGCATTATGAGGAATATTCCATTATCAGTATCAGCAACCCCTTTTCTTGGTTGATAGTGGGCCAATGGGATTTACTCAACACATGTCAACGTTTGGTGATATACAGTTCGCAACCTAATCCTCCTCCTTTGGGCTTTGGTAATGGGACTTGCCCAAAGCATTGAACATTTGGTCGCTGCATTTGGTCTTTCAGGCTATGGTGCCACAGCCTGGTGGCGGCGAGCCGTGGAAGAGTCCTCGCCCAGTGCAGCAGAAGGCTAGCTCGCCTGGCTTAGAGGTCTCGTCGTAGCCTTTTTCCATGGGCGCCCAAAGCCATGTGGTGCCAAGGGGAATCCGAATGTCCTACAGTTAAAGCTCATTGGAAGGATTTGGAAGGAAGACTCATCCGATTTGGAAACACTCATCAGGTAGCCAACAATGAGTTTGTGGTGTTTTGCTTGGGCCATGTGCCCGGCACTGGTACTGTATGTGGTCCCTGTGAGAGAGTTCATGTTGAATTCTCCAGTGGTACGGTGACATCAACCAGGGCCCCCAAAGCTGGATCTCGAAAGACATCAACGTGGCGTAGAAATGCACGGACAGTGGCCTGGACGTTTTGAAACATCACCCAAAAGGTGGTTTATACGGATCCCCATCTGTCTAAGACATCTTGGGGCGCCAGTGCCATCGAACCTCTGAAACCACTGTAGAAACATCATCCATGGTCCATGTGATTATTGAATCCCTACCCCCTTACCCATGGAGTTGAATCCCTATCCCCTTACCCTACGCCCCCCCTAGGTAATCGGTAGGGATATCATTGAATATCATTGGATCATTCATCCATTCGACCTTTCGCCCGCAAAAAAAAGAAACAAGCAGACGTTGGCGCGTTGGCGGTGTTTGGACTTCCAGGCCATGCAGAGAGTGAAGAGCAGGACGCAAAAACGATGCACCCCCGGCGATGTTCGCTGTGAGAAAAAACAAAAGAAGCCAGAAAAATGTCAAAAGTCAAAACACATGTTGTACCGCGGCCAAAAGTTTGCTCGCAGCTCGCTGTTTTTTCATCAGGAGGAGGAGAATGCCGCCCACTTCCAAGCCACCTTTACACACATGATCCAAGGAGCTCCATGGCAGCACGGGAGCAGCGGCGTGGTCCGGGTTTGCGGTGGGCACGGTCTGCAACGGCCCTGGTGTCTATGTTCGGTTGGACTGGCATACTGGCACTAAGGATGTTGGTCACGGTTGGTCCATCTGATCCGTGCTGCACGGTTGTCGCTGCAACTGTTCTTTTTTGTTTGACACAGCGCATGAGCAAGATGCAAGCCAGCTAGTATGTAAGTGTATATGTGCAAGTGTATATATGCAAGTGTATATACATAATATGCACCGACTACATCTTGGATACATTCTCCAGTGCTTGACATGTTGGTACCTAAGCACGCATCCCTTGTGTTAGTTGGACCAAGCACATCGTGTGGTTTGAGAAGCTACAGTTTCTCACGCATTTGGCAATACTTGGATCCAAAGGGGGGCCCAGAGATTATCCCTTTAGTCAAGTGTTCGCACCGTCTTTAACGGAGAGTCATCTAAAAAAATGTGCGTTCTTTTGTTAGGTGAAATGGCTGACAGAGAACTCCCAACCATCGGACTCGACCAAGGACCCACGGTCCACGGTATGTCACATCAAGATTGAGAAGCGAGGAGCTCTTCCAGTGGGCAAGGATGTGGCACGGCGCATGTGGAGCGGTTCATTGAGTTCCATCGGTTTCGGGAGGATGTTGTCCGGTTCGCTTTACGGTGCTCCATTTCGGGAACGAGATGGAAGGAGGAAAGTTTCAGCTTCACTTTTGGGAGTCCTTTACCTCTCCATTCCCACAGGAAGCTCATACAATAAAGTGAAGCACCTTTTGCGTGGTTTTTGGAGTCAAGTATGTCTTCAGAAGAGTCCTGCACCCGGGTGGAACAGGCCACTGCTGAGTAGCTGCACTCTGGCATGCGAGGAGGATGGCGATAATATATATATAGAGATATAGATATAGATATGATTCTGGCGACGGTTCTGATGTTTAGTTTAGTTTTGCAACAACATAGCCCACATGTATGTTTGTCACATGCATCTACTGTCCCTACTTTACAGTTCTAATCAAACTTTAACAGGGCGCCCCATATGCTGTTCTATATTTTCTATGCCCATTTTCTTAGGCAAGTTGAGACAAGGTCCTGTAGCAATCTCACACTACTCTAGTGATGACTTGCCACAGCGACCGTCCGCTTTTGACGTACCATCGGGTGTGTTGTTTAGCTAGCCCTACCACAGTTCTTCAAAAAGTAGAGGTTTGTTTGTTGATGAATGTACAATGTTACAATGGGTTTGTTATGCAAAGTTCCCCCAAGCACATTCCCAGGCAAGGTTCCCACGTCCAAGTAAGTCAGTCCCCAGCCAGGTCACCAAGCAAGGTTCCCTCAAGGGGCCAGCGAAGTTATGAGCTGGTAGGTGCCCAGCTGCGTTTCCCGGCAAGCTCGTCACTCTGAAGCTCTAGAGAGTTGGAAGACCCAACAGTGCCAAAGCATTATGTGTTGTGAAGATTGACGCTACGGAGCTTGCTCTTGCAGAAGTTCAGCTGGGATCGTACTGACAGAGATACTTTGGTTCTTGAGGCTGCTGGTCAGGCGGATCACTGCAAAGATGTTCTCCAAAGCAGCTTTCACCGTGCAGAAAGGAATATGCTGAGGCAAGGGAGGCACGGGCGCCACTGCCAATGGTGCTCCATCGTCGTCTCAAATGCCAAGCAGCCCGGGAGTGTTGTACTTTTGGAGCCACTGACGGCCATGAATGGGTGTGTAGTTGAATAGGGAGACCTCCAATCAAAGGTTTTTGGTCTATGTTCCTTCTTCCAGGGAGTCGAACTGAGAGGTCTCCCATTGTAATACACGCCCATGGGCTGCCCGTTGGGGCAGCCCAGTTGTTCATCCGAGACGCGGCGCATGGCTGACAGCGCTGGCCTCACAGTTGCATCGTCGCAGTATGCAGACGGCTGATGACATGGCTGACCAACATACAGCGACGGCGATGAACACTGCTACTACTGCTGCCAGTGCTAGCATGAGCTTTTGTGTTGCTTTCAAGCGGTACTTTACTATTGCTGCTACATATAATCATATATTACTGCTACTAGTTACTAGTGCTTGTAGTCTTGCTGCTGCTGCTCTTGCCGCGCTGGGCGTTTGCTACTAAGCCGGCCAGAACAGAAGCCTCCACTACGAGTGCAAGTATCTAGTGCAATGGTATTTAGCACCATAGTGCTATAGCACAGCAGCAGCAGCAGCAGCACTACCTACTACTACCCCTGCTTCTGCTGCTGCTGATGGTACTGCTACTACTTTCACTTTTACTTGTAGCACTTGTACGTGTACTACTAATTAGAATGCTTTTACTACTACTGCTGCTGCTATGACGACGACGACTTACTACTACCACTACTACCACCACCACCACTACTACTACTACCACTACTACTACTACTACTACGACTGCCACTGCCACTGCCACTACCACTACCTTTACTTTTTCCTCGGCTACTACCTCCCGGCCAGCCATTACACACTTTCTCAGATTCGACAGGTTTCAACGCAATGTTAGTACTTGTTGTTCTTATTGTTGTTGTTAATGCTGTTGAAGATGTTCCAGGGATTTTGCAAGGCTGTCATGGTCCATGGTATTTCAGCAAGTGTCACCTACATTCTGACACATGACCCTGCCGTACAAGTCCAATCAAGACGAACCGTTGACCGAGCGCCCAATATGTGTTTGGTTATGCTTGGTTATGTCACGCTATTCGATTAGAAAAAAAAGTGACCGGGCTTTTTGGCTTTCCATCGGGTATGTGAACATCCTGCAGGTCTTTGGAACGGTAGACCTTCCGTTTGTGAGGTCCGTGGGCGTGCTGTCAAGCATCCAGCCCTCACAGAGTGAGTCAGTCAGTCAGATTGGGGAAAACAAGCCACATGTTCATATTAGTGAGTGCCCTGCAGGGAACATATTGCTTGACCTTTCACTGCATTGTGAACAGCTTGTGTCATTTGATTCAACCAGGCATGGAAACCTCAGGATCGTTGATGAAAATGAAACGCAGGCAGATGGGGGGTGCTGGATTTCTCCATCAATCATGATCCGAGGTGGGCGAGCTGGATTTCCCCGTCTACCGTCTCATTTCTGCAGCCTTCAACACCACCAAGGCGACCACCGCTCGGCTTCGCTCGGCTCTCTTTTCGGAACATTGAAGCAGGGAACTACCGTGATGTGGGGGCGATGTCGTGATATCTCATGATATCTCCATATTCAAACATGTAGTTCCCTGCTTTGGGATGCTTTTGGGACGGGGTGTGGGGAGTTTGTGATGACCCAAGGCCATTGAGTCGCACCAAAGATGAGCAATTAGCAGTACATAGTGAGTAGCAGCAGTGAAATTCCAATTTCATTTGAAGCCATGCCTGTGCCTTTCTTCCACACGAACATAGTTTCTCGTTCTCATGGCTCTCACTTGGAACTAAACAAAAGACTTCACTGGATTTGTGGACATACCATCTTTTCGGGCCAACCCATAGCTAGCTCCGCGCCTGTCGCGTGCCAGTCGCACGCTGGGAGCGAGGTGGTGCTTCCCATGGGTTCGGCGACGCTGACGCTGCTGGCGCAGCTGCGCGCCACGGCGCGCGCGTGAGGCTGGGGCGGCGGCGAGAAGCTCGGTGGAGAAGTGGGAAGGTGAAGTAGCCGACAGGCACACTGTGGCCGAAAATGCAGGGAAGAGGTCGATATCAAAGGGTGGGGTGGGTTCAACATGTTTCAGAACCACGCAACCTCTTTGTTCAAAGAGGTCTGCGTATATTTGTTCTTGATGTATGATGTATTATGCAAAGTTGTCTTGATACTCTTTGCAAAGTTTACAATTGTTTAAGGACTGAACTTTGCAATCTATGCATGCGGGACCTCATATACAATTATGTAATACACTCAAAGTAGATCCCAGTTGGACATGGTATGATGGGGGCACAACCCCCACACTATTGTGGGGCTCTAAGAGCACATCAAGGCTTCCCGGGAATCGAACTTGCAAAGCAGTGCATTCTTTAAGCAATTCATCGAGCTCGGTCAGTGTGGACGGACCCTTCTTAAAGAAAGCCGGGCCTAGCTTCTACAGGGCATCCACCTCTTGGGCCACAACGGGCTTCTCTTGGGGGTCAACGGGCATCTTCATCTACTCTTGGATATGAGAGATAGGTGCCTTCCGCATAAGCTAATGGCTAATACACCTGGCTCGTCACATGTATGTCAACGCCCATGGGAGAAGCCTGCCGTGCGATGAGAGGCCCGCCTTGAAGTACTCAAAGCCCCCAGTTCAGATGATTTGGATGGTCTATAAAAATCATGTAACTCACAGTCTATAAAAACCATGAGAGTCTATTTGATTCCGTGTAAGAATAGTTTGACCATTTTTGACACCCCTTTCCCACCTGCCTCTCCGCAGCTGTTTTTTGCTTGACCTTTGCTTCGCCCGGTCGTCGCCCGTTTTGGTGGACACGTCTCATGGTGCAACCGGAGTTGGCCAAGTCGAAGTCGTCGTTGGAGCGGATCTTCACCACTGCACCTCGCGGGCGCTATGCAGTGGATGAGAAGCAGATGCAGATGAAGGATGCAGCTGGTCCGGGTTTATGGTCTTTACATGTAGTCGTCATGACATTTTTTGTGGGGTTTCTTATGCACCTTCTGGAATTGCTCAACGCATGGACGTGAATGCCGAACCGTGAGCTAAAGATCAACAATTTGCATAATTTGCAGAGCTTTGTAGCCAAATCAATCCGATGAATTTTTGACTGAGAAAGAGTGTTCAATGATCAATGCTTCAGATGTGCCAAGTCCTGGATAATTATCTGATCTGAAGATTTAAGGGATGGATTCTTTGGAATGTGCGAGTCGGATCTGACTTTACCCTCACCCACGGTTCGAAGGACACATATTAATATGCACTCCCGAAAACTGAGGACGGTGTGATTTTCAGGGTCAATGTTAGTTTTCAGCGGGGTATAGAGATGCATATTGTACATCAAGACAACAAAACCGAGACTATACCACTGATTCTGAGGCTCCATGTTTGGGTGTTTTGCCAGAGGAGGTTATTTCTGGACCAGAGTTGACAAGGTGGACTCTTCATCGAGCAACCGGCAACTGGATGCGAAACGATGCCTTGTGGTTTGTCAGTGATGGGTAGGAGCCGCCGTCAACCGAAGTGTCCAGCTGCAGAAAGTCAACTGGAATGACAACTATAAGTGTCTCTTCACCCAAATCTTCAAAGGCTACAACACGTCCATATCCGGTTCACCGCTTGGTTTGGAAAATCATACCGGCCTTCACATGGTTGCATCCAAAGAGATGAACCGATGAACCGATTCCGCGAAAGACCAGGAACATGTGATCATGCGTTGGAACCTTCTTTTTCTGATCTTTGACTTCCTGATCATTCCACTGCCCCTTTGGATCGATATCTTCAGCCCCATCTTCGCAGCGGCCGCACAGCAGCAACGGTGCCGCTTGGGACGGGCCGCTGCGGTTGTTCGCAGCTTCTTCCCTTGTTTTGTTTCGTCCTCGGGGTGAACAAAACCGCGAAACGTTCCGGAACGGGCTCCTTCCCAACTTTGGAGGGTTTGGAAGATGATACCGGGCAGGACTCTATCCCGGGTCCCGAGTCTGACCTTCACAATGCATTGTTTTTAGACTGTTTGATCCATAAAACCACCCCCACACTTGGGATTGTTCAAACGTCACGACGGGGAGGACCATTCGAGAATGAGATGCAGACAGAGACAGACTCCGACAGATGTAGCACATATATGTAGCACATTCTAGCACTTATTTGTGTTTGACAATAGTATCTATTATGCAAAAGATCCTGAAAAAGCACAGGAGCTCAAAGAGGATCACCCTTTGACCCCGCAGTTCTTAGTTGCACAGAATCAGTTTTCTTTCGAACGTGGATCGATGGAGCATTGCTCGCAGCCATGGAGCACGTGTGTGGCTTGTACACGTAGAACCGTAGCTGGTCACATCCGGTAGATCAAGTGAGATGATCCAGAGGGTGAGACCATCTGTGAACCCCCCCTACCACACTCGGAAGGAAACCTCCCCACCTCGGGAAAACCGCATGCTGCGTCCTGCTTAGCGGAACGAGGCCTATAGCTTGTTCATCAGCTGGTTGGGTGCTTTGCTCCTCAGCCTTTGTGCCTGGAAATCCCTCCAGGCGAACCGACTCATGCTGCAGGCGCCGACCTACGGAAGGGAATTCTTGGGGCAGGTTGTGGGTTGTGGGAGATGCCCGAGATCTGCAAGTCCATCATGGAGGGGGCAGAAGATCCTTTGTCGATTGGACTCGTCGCACGATGGACTCGTGCCCGGGCCGGACTGGAGAGGTGGTGGATCAGACCTGGGAGAATCAGATCCCTCGAGAGACCTTTGAGGAGGACCTGATGTGTTGCGCGCTCGGGTGCGCGCGTTGTGAAGAGTCGACACTTGCGGGAAGTCCCTATGAACTGGAATGAAATGACATGAATTCCCTTAATTATATACTCCGAGTGATCCATACCCCACGAGGCGAATTGAAGAAGGCAGGGCAAGTTGAGGGCACATGTTTTGACAGACTAGCCTAGCTTGAGACAAAGGCGGACATGCGGATTAACACAATGCTTTGACCTCTGACACATCATCTATCATAAAGGCTGGGAAATGTTCTGGACCGTGTTTTGACGTCCTTGTTGGCATGCGCTCTGACATGTTCTGACATAATTTCCTGCCGGGAAGTCTGAGACGTGCTCTGACATATGGTCCGACTTATGGTATGCGCTTTGACATGTATTCCGACATTTGGTATGCCATTCCAGAAGGCGTCTATTTTGCAATCATATCCTGACCATTTCTTTCCGGCCCATATGTTGGTATTCAGCGGTTTTCGGTTCCGGCGGTGCGGGTTCCGCCATTGAGTGAGCTGGTCGCGGAAACCAGGCCCGGCGGTGCCCACTGCGCTCGTTCGCACTTGCGGCTTAAGCTCTGATAAAAGTAAACCTGGGTGAGGAAACATGACAATGAAGAACACCTGCTCGACCACGGCGGGTGCGACTTCTTATTATGTTGTCTCACTTCAGGAGCCAGAAACAGATGGGGAACATGCATGATCGCACGACCGTGTCTGACTTCTGCCAGGAGTATCGAGCTGAGCACCTGCAACATTTGGTGCCCTAGATCATTTCATGACTTTGATGAATTGCTTCGTTGCCTGCAGATGCTGTCTTTGGCTGATCCTTTCGATTCGGAAGACATCCCCAGCTTTAGTGCTCTTTTCGAAGCTGCGAGCTGCGATCGTTGACTCCTCAGGTGATGATGTGTGGCTACAAGGAACCCATGGAGGCCTGGCGCAGAACGACCGAACAGGGCCATAAGCCTCGTGGTTCTGGAACACTTCTGTCACTATCTCCATATCTGGTGCGTAAGGCTGATCAATACAGCATTCTCGGTGTCACTCGCTCGTCCATCCACACATCCGCATTTCCTGTGCCGCGGGGACCTCGCAGGTCCCCCCTTCTCCACACCGGGGGCCTCGTCGCACTGCAGGTGATCCAGCAGTCCATCGACTCCTTGGTGTCTCAGACGGTGGCCCATCGACTCATCGTGGTCATCGGCCTGGAGGAGGGCACCCCCGAGGCGCGACTCCGGGAAACCGGCGGAACAGCAGCGGTTTGGACCGATGAAGCGGGAAAGTGGGAGCGTTCCCGAAAGCGTCGCAAAGGGAAGGGAAAGTGTTTGTTGTCTTTGGGGGGGGTGGAACCGTTGGGTCCAGAGTCGAGGGTTTTGCCATGGCCTTGCCATGATGCAGGGACCCAAATATGTTGTGCGGTATTTTTGTTTAAAGAAGAACCCAATCGTGGGATTTGGGATTGTCACAAAGCAGATGAACTCGTCGAACTGGAGTTGTCTCCAAAGGGAACTTGCTTTTGGAAGTTGCTGAGTAGCTTCAACTTCAACTGGCCATTTTGCAGTGGATGACCTGCTTAGGCAGGACAGCTGTCTTGCAAAGAGGTTCAGTGGGGGTCTACCTTCAAAATGCCTGAATGAATCGTCCAAACTACAGTGGTTGACCAAGGCAAATCCTCGCGGGTCATCGTGGCTCATGAAGCGTAGCTCCCAGACCATCCATGGGACTGGAATAGTACCACATTGATGACCCATATAATGACCCGTAATGAATCATATAGGCAACTGCATACATGGATCGTCAATGATCGTCATGAGTCTTGTTGATCTCACAAATCGACCCGTTCATTTGGAGGTCGCTGAGAAGGCCAGCAACTTGAAGAAGCAGTCTCTGGGCGACAGCACATGACCGCTATGTCACGGCGTTGCCCGTTTTTTGCGTTGGGTTTGGTGTCACTGTCGGTGTCACTTCCCTTGGTTTTGCCATGTTTTGCCGCATTCTATTCCCATTTGGTAGCATTTGTTTAAACGACACTGGGCAGCACCGAAGGGAAAATCCGTTCAAACATGTTAAAACGGGTTTTCACCTCTGAGATCCCCTCAGGAAGATCAGGAAGCGCCAAGACTTCACCCCGCAAGAATTGCAGACCAGACGGCCTGAAGTTTTGATTCTTGATCCATTTCATTCCTTTTCACCGTTGGGAGAAAGAAATACAACACATTCCAGGAGAAACACCTTCCTGGCATTCCAGGTATGCTGGTGCTTTCAAGCGCTTCCACGTGACGAAGCATCCGCCGCGCTGGGCCGGCGATCGGGAGATCCGCGGGAAGTGCTCCAACGCCAACTACACCATGCGCGCCGCAGTAACACGCCTTGAGGCGAAAGCCGGTGCGGTGTCGGGTGCGGTGTAGTGGTGTGTGAAGTGGTGTGTGGCTGGTGGTGGAGGAGTTAAGGGTAGGAATACATAGGACTGTATATCTCCAATCAAGATATTAAAAGATATCGATCGGAAAATTCCAATGGTTCCGAAGATGAAGGAAACCCTGTCCCCAGCAGATGGGAAGAGGTGTTCCACTATTTGGAGTCCTAGTCGTGGGTGCATTCCCTGCAGCACTTCCTCCATTGACAGATTCGCACAAACGTTTTTCCCATCGGACAACCCCTTGGACCATTTGTGACCCTTCACGTTTTGCTAAGTATGCTACTTCCCTGTTTCGCTTCTGACGGCGCCGAGAGCTGGGATCCACAGCTTGCAGAGCATATACAGGCATATAGCAACATATAGCAGCAGCACAATAGATGTACGTAATTGTATATAAGAACTCGAACCCATTTGACCTGATTTTTGCTAGAGAAGGTGATCCTCCCAAATAGTAGGGTCATTCAGGTTCTAGGCTAATTATATATAGTTATTATATATATATATATATGAGCAACCTCTTTTATTTGCGGTAGTCAAGATTAGTGGAAGGGGCGTTCCTTTTCTCTAGCCCAATGTCAGATTTAGTTAGCGAAACGAGGTAGGAACACCCCGAGAACGAGATGGGCATCAATTGCGCCATTTGTTTGAAATTGTTAATTTAGTCAATGACATGTTTAGCTGGTGAAACGAAGTAGGAACACCTCTCGAGAACGAGATGGGCATCCATTGCACCAAACAGATACAGGAATGGAGAACGAGATTACACCCCAAAAATGATGCGAGATTGGAGAACGAGGTAAGGAAGGCCCATGTGATAACTTAACGGAAATATGTTCCATCGCTCACGCATCACGCATCACGCAAAAAGGAGTACGGCGAGCTCAATCTTGCTTGCACCACTGCAACCTCCTGCGACACCGATTCCATCTTCCCGTCCCTCGCCCTATACACTCCCTAGAACTAACATGGTCACGTGGATGGCCTGGCCCCGAGTTCGGAAGACCATGAAATCAATTCCGTGGTGAATTCCATGGGTGAATTCGGTGAACTCCACGTAACCATGAGTTCCAGGGAGAGAACACCCGGGATGTTGACGGGTCCGGGTGGCACCTGGAGACTCCGCTCGGTCTCCCGGTCTCCCGGTTCGCTGGGTCGATGAAGAGGTTTGATCCCCTAAGGTCCTTTGAAGTGTTCCAAATGAAGCAACACTAGGGTGTCTTACACCTGTAGACCGTCGACCTTAGACCTTTATATAGATATCTACTTTGATAATGATATACACTATTATACACTCTTTGGGGTCTTTTGCCGGGACAATTTGACAATGATTGATGAGTGCTTCGCTTCCCCAAGCCGTTGAGCCGTTTTCCGCTTTTCTGCAAAGCGGTTTGCTAAAACTGCATCTGCGCAGATGGAAGAGCTGATGCGCTTGCACCAATCGACCAGTTTGATTTATCCTAGCTAGGCACCTGTATTGAATTGTCCTTCCTGGTGGGATGTTCAACGTGTCCGTGTGACTTCACGCCACAGTAAGTCCAGGTCGCTTGGTGGTTGCTGCGTGTCCGCCCGGGCTGCGGGTGTCGTATACCTCGCGGGTTTGTAAACAACTACTGAATGGCTTTGTGCCCGAGGCCCCGGTACTTTGAGAATCTGGGCTACCAGTTCCTCACTGATCCAAAGGCCATGGAGGCAGGGGCTCAGGGCGAATCAGGCTGGGGCCCATGGTTGTGTTCATGTCGATTGATGAGCTGCATGATGTTGGTTAAACCGCTTGCCTACTGGGCTAGTGGCAACGCAAATCCCCCAAAGCATTGCATCATATTGCATGGTCCTCTCGGAACCTGTGGATTGCTGCGAACGGGCAAGCTGCGAACGGGCGAGGAGGATTCTCCATTGATTGATTCTCCAGGCCCTGGGGATTCGGCATGGTGGGCTCATCAGGTTGCATGGTGGGCTCATCAGCTTGGTGTTTTCAACAGGTATGGAGGCCCAAATAGGAAGAAGCAGTTTCCAATATAATAGGCTATACACCGGTGAAAACTGACATTTTTGCCAAAAAAAGATATATATTTTTTGGCATATGTTAGTCTAGTTTCCGAGCGGACACCGTTGAGACCAACCTAGACCAAATTCAGATGTGCCATGGTGGGCCCTACGGGTACTTGGCATGGTCCATGTTAGCCTCCACCGCGCTATGTTGACCTCTACCGGCGCGGTCTATGTTAGCCTGCGTTCAGTTTATAGTCAGAGTGCAGTTGGTCCATGTTAGTGTCAAAATCGATCATAGACTGAGAGTAGGAACGGTCCATGTTAGCCACCCGCCTGACTCAGGTTTGTGGAAAGTTTGTGTCAGTGTGGACCAGGGACTGAGAGTGGAAGTGGTCTATGTTAGCCGGTTAGCCACATGCCTGACTCAGGTTTGTGGAAAGTTTGTGTCGGTGTGGACCAGGGACTGAGAGTGGAAGTGGTCTATGTTAGCCACATGCCTCACTCGATATCTGGAAAACTTAGTGTCAGGTTGGACCGTGGACTGAGAGTAGCGAGAGTGGGAGTGGTCCATGTTAGCCACAAGCCTGACTCAGGTTAGTCTCAACGGTGTCCGCTCCGAAACTAGACGTAACATATGTCAAAAGAGTAAGTAATGTTAGGGCTTGCTGGCTGCTGATGCTCGAAATCCCAGTATCCTATATGTCCTAGGAATGGGCCGTTTCCAGTGTGCCATATTGGCCTCCACCGTGCTAAAAGAGCTGTCTAGTTTTGCACCTGCAGTACCTCTGTTGAGACTAACGTAGACCATGTTCAGGAGGCCCTTACAGGTATGTGACATGGTCCATGTTAGCCTCCACCGGGCCATGTTGATCTCTACCGGCGCGGTCTATGTTAGCCTGCGTTCAGTTTATAGTCAGAGTGCAGTTGGTCCATGTTAGTGAGGGTCCAGAAATTGCCAAAAAAGGCGCTAATACCGTTTCCCCAGGAAGTCACCGTTTCCAGTGGTCCATGTTAAAGCGCACTTGAAATTGAGTTACGGTCTATGTTGTTTTTCCCCGGAGTAGGTGTTGGGAGGGGCTTAACTTGTTCTATTTTTGGGTCACCCGACTATGGCACCGTCATTCCTTGCGCCGCCACTGGAGGTCGTGTGGCAGGCGCCTTTGTACTACAACCACTACTTGACGCAACGGCCCTGGTTTGTACGTGCGATTGGTATCATGCGAGCGGCCTACATGTTGGGTTTATTGAGCCCTGCCTGGTGCGGTTTTTGCCGAGGTGGATCGGTACTTTCGGAAAAGGGTGGAGTTGTTGTCACACGGATGAGGAAGACTTGGGGTGCATTCTTGGAAGTCTACATCAGGAGCAGGCAGTACTTCCTGGACCAGTGGTGTCCAAATGCGCGTTATGGCCGTCAATTTGTTGCTCATTTGCCCAACCACAAATCAGGCAGGTTTACTAGTGAGTGGTCCAAGAATCCATCATCAACGTGTTTCTGTTCGCAGTGTTCCTGCGTGGCCACCATCCTGGGTTTCACGGCCATTTGCTTGAAGGTTTCGGGCTTGGTTGGCTTGCTGGTCAGATAGCCCCACAGCTGGCCCCCCCTCAAACTACGAACGCCGCATCCTTCCAAAAACACTGCAGAGATCTGCAGGGTGTGTTCCTTTTTCATGCGTCTTCTGTCTAATTTCGCCTTCCTCCTGCTCGTTTGAGCAGTGAGCAGTGAGCACCTGAGGATCCCTTTCAACATCAATACGATGTCCATCTTCAGCTTTTCTTTGGACCTTTGTATCAAAGGCGCCGGGCCAAACGGTCCTAGAAATCGATCCGGTTTTGATTGTGCGGTCTAGAAGGCATGAGAACCTTGTGGAATCCAGGTGCTCAGCTCATTTGGCATGTGTGGCATCCGGCAAGTGGCTGCATTGCGTGAGTTTGTGACGACTTGCCAACCCTGGTCACAGGCGATTTTTTTCATGCGCACTACCAGATGGATGACATCATTTATACTTTGTTGCCTGTCTGATTGCAGTCTTTCCTTGGTGGGTCAAGCATTTGCACGCCCGAGGATGCAGGGAAAAGCACCCCATCCTGCGGAGGCTTTCTACATGAGATTGATCCACAGTTCAAGTGTCCTTCTTTGAATTGACCTGCAGTTTGCAGTCTCAAACGTAGACTCCAAGCGCCCCAACCGACCACGACCATGCGATCAAGACAGCGTGTTTGTGGACCAACACAGTGAGACACATCCATGCTTTGAACAGAAACGGAATTGCTTCTCCAACCCTCAACGGTTGCATCCCCGTCAAATCAGTGGAACGAAGCGTGTCTCTGACGTCCCTATCCACTGAGGACGTGCATGCAGGCCTTGCAGAAGCGGATTGAGATTCTTGGCGATAAGCTTTGTAAATCATATTAAATCATGATGCTCGTGGCGCAAGAAAAACGGGCATGGCCGGAAAGGAAGGAAGAATTTGGAATGAGACGGAGCATGAGGAACCTTCATATATACTGTGTATATATATATATTATGTGTGTATATATATGACTGCAACAATGACTCCGATGTGTGTTTGCGTGTGCTTTTTGGTACAATGCCATCATTCATGTTCTACCGAAGTTCTACCCATTTGGGTGTCACTGCTTACGGGGGGCATCCATTTGTGGAAGCTTTGTGAAGCAGCTTCATCGGTTTACCTGTCAGATCCCAAACAAATAGTTACAGCATCCAGCAAAGCAGCTGTTTTTGCTTTTGCATCTTTGGGCACCTGACTGATAATGCATGCAAGTACAAGGGTACAAGATGGTACAAGCTTCACGGTGGTGTGTGTGTGTGTGCATCATTCGCGGGAGACTGAAACCTGCGATGTGCCCCCTGGAAGACTTACATGATTACATGGACCCTGAAAACCGGTTGGCAAAAGAGCACCATCTTCCAGTCTCATGCTCGTTTTCGGGAGCGTTGTCGTTGTTCCTTTCGTCCCCGCCATTTGTCGCCCAGGATCCGAATGATCCCGATGCCAGTCATCTCGGGACCCACCAGTGGCAGCACCTACTGTGAAGAGATCCAAGAGTTCGTCCGGCAATCCGAGCGTTGGACCATCGGCGCCTGTGAGGCGCGCCGGTTGGCAACGAGGACGCGTTGTGGAATGGACGGTGATGGGAAGAGGTGGGCATGACCTGAAGAACCGTCGATGTCGATGATCACCAGTAAATCACTGGTCGCTATTTTCGAGCTGTCGGCTTGAAACCTACTGGTAACCATCGTTATCATGCACTGGGCCCAGGGGAATAGGATATAACATGATATAACTCAACACATGCCCTATCCCCTACCCTCTCGAAACATCACATCGGACCGTCGGTCCGAAAGATTTGCTCCCAGAAACTTTTATCAAGCAATGACTTCCAAAGGGTCCAGTATGGTCCAGTCCATGTGGTTCTTTGCATGGGAACAGTCAGGGCTTTGATGACTGGGTTGCCATGATGTACCTTGTAGTTCTTGGTTTGGTCACTTGACGCCTGACCTGATTGTTTGATTTATGTTTGATTCATACCCCCGGAGCCGCCAACCAAAATGAAAGTGGACAAAAGGGGTTCAACATGGTCCAACCAAATGTTTGCAAAGGACAGGACCATATCCTCATCATGGAAGCTTCGGTGAGCAAGCTGTCTTTTCAGGAAATGGAGCGGCGTGCCGACAAAGACCGTTCTGACTCCAACAGCAACATGCAAACAGTTGATATACTTTGAACTTTGGGTTGATGCTTGCCTTTCGCTAAAGACATTATTCGAAGAAGATGCAAACACAACTTGGAGTGTTTGGCCTTTGATGCCCCAGTCCAAATTTAAACGCTTGCAAGCAGAGAGAGCCATTTCAGGCACATGTGTCACTCTTAAATGAAACAACATTGTAGCGGCGTGACACCACCCGAGCACCAAGTGAGCTGGTACTGCATGTGACTTATCTCTTCAACTGCGGACCGGTCGCCTGAGAAAACCTGACGACCAGCGACACTCGTCACTGGAGGTCTTCCACTACTTCGTGGTGAAACGCCGGCGCTACAACTGCTCAGCGGCCTTGTCCTATGGCACGGACCTCGGCGCTCGAAGAACCGCCCGAGCTGGGCAGGGTTGTGTGTCCTGAAAAAGGCTGCATCTGGCGGGGAGACCCGCTGGAGAACACGCCAAAACAATGCATTTGAGTTGTGTCAATGGAAATGGTTCAATGTTCAAGATGAACTTGTTTTGTGCATTCTCTCCGACAGCCCCACACAAAGTGCGCTTCGCCTTAACCAATGCCATGAGGCATTTGGTTTGTGACCTACTATGGCTTCATTTTGTGCTCCCTGACCCTATCTGGGTTGGCGGCCTTCCTCAACTACGCCATCGTGGATGCCAAGCAGGGTCTTTTCCAACAGTTCCCTGGATGTATCAACTCGGTTTGCTGAGGGTCAGTGTTGTATTTGTTGTGCAGTTCCCATGCTTCATGTTCCCCACACTCAAACGCAGCGAGTTCTTGTTTGTTTTCCTATTTGTTATCATTTGCCTCACAGCTTAAGCCCTCAGACTCAGTCTCTTCGCCAATCGGCTAGTCTTCATCATGACTTCATCCGGTATACTGTACCACAAGCTTTAACAATTTTTCATTGCTGGCGTAACCAGCGCAACCAGCGTAATCAGCGTAATCAGCGTAACCAGCGTAATCAGCGTAACCAGCGTAACCAGCGTAACCGGCGTAATCAGCGTAAGCAGCGTAACCAGCGTAATCAGTGCAGCTAGCTACCGCCAGCGTACCAGCGTACCAGCGTGCAATCACTCGCGGACACGCTTTGCCACGTCGCTCCAATTTTTCCTAGCATCCTCCTTCCGGGCAAAGGGAAGCCTTATGGTGCTTTCAAGTTTTACCTGGGAATCCTGGGATGATTGACAAGTTGACAAGTCCATCACTGATCATTCTTTGTTTTTGCCTTTCCAGCTGCCTTTGCCTTTCCGCTGGGGAAAAAGAACAAGGTCACCCTTGGATGAGAAGTCCCGGAGGCTGGTGGTGGCTGTGGGTTTGGCCAGCCTCGCATGGACCTATTTGATTTTTCTGTGCCTTGGTGCAACAGACTCGACGGGTCGGACGGAGGGAGAGAGAGAGAGAGAGAAAGAGAGAGAAAGAGAAAAAACAAAACGCAGATCTGCAGACCATTTCTTCATGGAATGGTCTCTAATGATTCAATCAATAAACTATGCATATATGTTTATATAATCTATGTATATACAGTAGTTGAGAATGGTTCAGAATGATGATGATATGACACTCTGACAATGAGGTCCCTTTTCCTGGTAGAGGGGCACAGGCAGTATTATATAATCTGTTTTATCAGTAGCCAACTGTGCAGCTGAGTTGTTGTGAGTTTACTCTTTGAAGGAGTGGGGAGCAATCGAATCCCTACCGGGTATGTAAAGAGCATTTGATTTGGTCCGGACGGGCAAGTGCTGAAACGAAGAGATCCAGAAATCAATCAAAAATTAGGTATTATATATAGATGATTGCAGCAGTTAAGGTATGATTCCATAAGTGATTCCATACATAGAACCCAGTGCCTTTGATTTTTCGGTTCTGTTTGCCTGGAAGCTCTTTTTGCCACGCAACGAAGCATGTTCCGAGGATCTTTTTCTATTTGGATCGAGCGGCTTGCAAGCTCATTTACCACTTGAAGATGAAGCCACAAGGCTACACCCAACTCAGCGCACAGAAGGAGTCGCTCTTTCTGTCGATGAGTTCATGCAGATGGCATCCTGTAGGCAGTGGGCACTAGGTCACCAGGCATTCAAAGAGTGTTTTAAAAGATGACTGGCTGGTGGTTTCACGGGGGGGTCTATTTTCAACATTTACCTATATATATATATATACCTGGAAGAATGATCGTGCCCAATGACCAATATTCTTCAGATGGTGTCAGTTGATAGTTGATCTCCTTAAAGTGTCCAGTTGCGTTTTGAAAAGTGTTTAGTGGGCACGTCACGTTTTGCGGCAACTGGGCTTTCAAGAGCTACCTTGCCGATAGTACATGTGAATGTACAAAGTTTGAATACATCGGTGTGGGGGCCAGTATGATATCATTTCTGTGCTTTTCCTCGTGCGCATTTACATCCCAGTGGGAAGTTGAGAAGCTTCCAATCAAAGACGGGGGATACATCATGATAGTAGGTGCACCCCTTTCAACACCAGCAGCTCCCACGTCATCCATTCACTATTATTGTTTGATCCCCTGCAAGCAGCCCACAAATCAACAGATCTCCTTCCCTCCATTTCAGAGTGGCCCGGACCACTGCATGCAGGCAGTGAGGACGCCAGCCTGGGCCAGAATCTCAAGGACTGGGTCTTGATGTGGCCGAGTTTGGTGATGTATTCTTGCGTGGCTTGGAGGGAGGACGGTGACACCCAGACCCCCACACACGCAGAGACAGAAAGTTGGGTGGAAAACGGTTTGGTGTTTGCTGTATCCAACTGAGGTGAAACAGCATGTTTCCAACCACTTTTGGCAATTTCAATGGTTATGAAATAGCACTGGGTCATAGTGGGTCAGTGGGTCTAGACTCCGACTCACTAACATGGCAGTGGAGAACACCCTTTTGCAAAGGATTTTTCGAGGGGCCATCTTCCAGTTGCATGTTTGTTCACAGGTTTTTTAACATGGGTTCTTCAGTGCGTTCCACGATTCAGTCACTTCAGCTGGAGAGTTCGTAGGCCAACTATCCAATAGTTGAAGGTCGCTCTAGCTTGTCAGTGTGGTGGATGGACCTCGGGGTTGGAGAGCCATAGGCAGTTGGTTTGGTCGAATTTGATGGTCACCAACCTTGCACCCCACCAGCATGCGAGGTGAAAGTTCCCAATACACAGTGGCACTGTTGGGGGTCGAGCCGCAGATCCCATCAGATCTATTCAGATCCCACCAATCAGGCTGCGAAAACATGTGAAAAATGAATCGGTGGAGTGCTCCGTTCTGTCCTTGGTTCAAAGTCGTAGGAGGGTGAGTATGCCACAAAAAGCAACATGTCAAGGAAAGAAGTGCCGGACCCCTCGAACGACCAGAATCCTGCTCTAGCCGTGAGAGTGGCATTTCCCATCAACAAGAAGAAATACATAGAGACCCACCAGGTATACTTTTTGACATGTTGGCGATAAGATACTATGCTTATAGTTTGTGATTTCCAATTGATATCAAATGATCAATTTGGATGTGTCCCATTATTGCCTGTAACTGTCGGTAAACAAGAACTTCACCATTTCAGAGAAAGGCCTTTACTATATCATCCACTGGGCCCAGGAAATGGGATATAGATCTAATCGAACGGGAAAGATTGAACGCCTGGACCGCCCGGACCGCCTCCCAGGTCGTTTGAGGCTACAATGCATCATGATCACCGGTGTTCGGGTGCCGATGTTTTCGGGTGCCGATCACCGGTTTGTACGGATTGAATTCGAGTAAGGAACTCATCCACCTCGAATCTGTGGAACCATCACCTCGAATCCGTTCGAGGTGAGCGCTTGGGCGATTCTGAAGGTGGCCATCTATGGTAAGAAGGCCAGGTGTGAAGCGAGTTTGAAGACCTGTGAGATGGTCATGGTTGGAGAATCCCCTTGGCTGCCGGATTTTGATTTGGAAGCCCACATTTTGCCGCAAAAAAAAATCCAAGAATGCGCGTGGCTGGTGGTTTTCCTGTAGGAGCTGTGCACAAGTGATATCCTCCGTAAGTTTGCACTGCTGAATGGCGAGCCAGGGACCTTCTATATATTGGTTCTCATTTCGGGACACTGGCCGCAATCCTTGATCATCTTTGGTACATATACATCCTAGATCGATACTCAGTAAAGAATTGTAAACATTGTCAATCCTAAGTGTCGATGCTTTTCCATCCTCATCCCCTCCATCCCCATCGGTCCCACCTGTGCCGTGACTCCGAAGGTTTGTGGCCATGATCCTTCCAGCAAGGAAGCCTTGAGACCGAGAGTGGTCGAGGATTCTGAGGACTGCTGTGGGTTCCCCAAGCTTCCCTTGGAAAACAAGACTCAACAAGACTCAACGGTTCCGTCTTGCCTCCTTGGTCTCCGGCCTGCAGTTGGGCAACTTGCAGTTGGGCGACTCCGGGACGAGTCCTGCCCAAGAGAGAGAGAGAGAGAGAGAGAGAGATAGACTCAAGACATCTCAAGACTCAACACGATTAACTTAAGGATCTTAAGGTTCCCATGGTGTTTAGAGCTTGGCTCACTTTTGGGAGCAACGGAGTTGCACTGTGGGTGACGCATGGACCGCGCCGTCGCCACGCACGTTTTTTAGCGTCCGCGTCCGTCGCCTTCGGCGTTGGACCGTGCGTTGGCTGCTGCGGGATAGCCCGGGAAGGTCCTGTGAGAGCTACGTGACCGAAGAGACCCACATTGACCAGACTGGAAGACTAGAAAACTCCATGAAACTCCTCTATAACTGCATAGGGTTTTCAGGTGTCCATGTGTTTTAAAGGGCGAACTCCATTCTTGATGCGCTTGGACAACTGCGTTAGACATTAACAATCCTTAACAGGTGTTTGATCTACGATGATGCAGGGCGTTGACGAGAAACTTTGCGGGGTCTTTTGTTGTGCAGTGAATCGGTTACAGATGAAGGATGCGTCAGCTTGGCGGTATGCTGCATAGGTGGGGGTTCCGGTTGAAGCCTTTGAAACGAATGGGCGGTCAAGAAGGAGCGAAGCTTCGGCCAAATTCCAGATCGAACTTGAGAGACTGATGGATTGGCAAAGGAAATGTCTCACCCTGTGGTCTCTACGGCTCTACGTGTCTCAGATTCCAGAAAACGCTTCTCCGCGCGCCCCGGAGGATGAGTCGACCTCGGTGGGACAGGAAGACGACCTGTCTGAAAATGGCCAGCCTTGAAGGTGGTTTAGGGTTTAGGGGTTTGGCGGGTCCAACTGCCTTCTGAAAAGGTACTTTGGAGCGCTAGCAAGAATGTTTTGGCTCAGGGTGTGTGTTGACCATTGTTGACCCCACCCAGTTGAGCGTGCTGAGGCTTTGCCTGATGTGGCTCGAACCGAGCGATTTGCAAGGTGTTCCAGTGTTCCATGATGTTCAATGAACATGCAATTAGGAGCCAACAGGAGCATACATGAGCCAACATCTTGGCAGGTCTTTTAGCACTTGGAATTCGAGCATGGCACTGAGTCCTGTGAAAAAAGTGAGTAAGGCCCGACTTCTGTACCAAGAAGGCGTAGTGTCCAAGCTTCTTGGATGTTATTTGCAGGACAAGGTGCGTTTTATCACTTTTGCTTCCTCTAAGTGAGGAAGTGACCCTTGAGGTCGCCAGCTAGTTCTCAAGTGTCTTTGTCTTGAAGCTAGCCGGCAATTGAGTATAGGTTCGTCTCCCCTTGCCTCATTTCAGTCAAACAGATCCTGGATCCAATTGAGCTTTATTGGCATGGCAGCATGGTCTTGAGGGCGCAAACATGGCCAACCCACAAAATGACGTACAAGAAATATACAGACGACCAAGAAGCAAAGCACAGAAAGACGGTCGGGGCACAGACGATTTGTATAGTCAATTTTGACCTATTTTGTGCCACTGCGCAGTGGCAGCCCATGGGTCCATATGGACTCCTTGTACAGCTGCCGAGCTTCGTGGGTCACTCAGTCTATGTTGGCGGGACCGTGAAGCTCGACCAAATTCGACGCGAGACTGCAGGATGTTCGATTGGTGGTTGGTTGGCGAAGTTGCACCGGCAAAAAGCTGCTGGGAGTCCGTCTTGTTGGCAAGATTTGGCATGAACTCAAAGATCCTCAAGATTCCTCAAAGCTTTGTCAGGGGCTGTCAGTGGATTGAGGGTTGAGAACTGGCTCAATGCCATTACGACATTACGACGGCTTGTCAGAAAATTCTACTAGTTACCGTAGTATGGTGCTTTGGGTTGCATGCACGCTTCGCCGCCAAAACCTTGCGAGAAAAGTTAGTGACATGGTCCCAACAAGTTCCAGTTTCGAAGCACCTAGCAACAAATTGTGACTGTTTAAGCGTTCTTCCTTGGAATTCCCATGCATTTTCTCTCGCTTGCTTCGTCGGCCACACCAGCTCAGGCCGCCGTGGCACGGCTGGAGTTGGTGCTGCCCACCGGGGGCCGGCTGGCAAGTGGATGCTGCGAGCACGAGGAGGAAAAAGGAAACGACAGATGTGGGTGTGCATTGAAATAGGGAAATCCTCCACTCGATCTCCTTGAAGAGCTATTCAAAACCACGCTCATTTCCATCCATTTTCCCGTTAAAATATACAGTATTGGTAAAGGGGGCTCCCTATCTTGGAAGCGGCTGCCGGCCCCTCAACGAGCTCTTTCTCTCACGCTGTTCAACTCGACCCCGGCCCAGTCGCGTTGAAACACCGTGAAACACTTGCCTTTCGCCGCAGTCAAAGGCACTTTCGACCGAGGGGAGACTCGTTGGGCGCAGAAAAGCATGGGAGGAGCCTTCTTCAACAAACTCAAAGGTGTTGGACGTGGGATGGACCCGTCATGATCCATGGGGCTCACCCGGCGGCTGGGTACTGGGTAGTGACGAGAAGTGTGCGCGCGCCAAAAAGAAAGGCCCGGGTTGATCGATCAGAAACGCACCCTCGCCAGGCTGCATTTTTGGGACATGTCAAGAAGGACATGGGCGGTGAAATACAAGACATCAGCCGGCAATAGCCTAACCCACCATCAGAAAGCAAACACCCAGAAGAAGGGGCCATGACACTTAAAACTGTGATATCTGATAAGCAGTGTGTTTTTCGCGTTCTGGCCAACACCCTCGTGAATCCTAGCAAGCCATGGTGCTGTTGATGCTGTGTGGCGTGGGGCTGCTAGGTGTGGCTGTAGGGGTGCCCTGGTACTATGGCCTGCTGAGCAAGACGATCCTCATAGAGACTGGACCCAAATGAGTGTGGTGCAAGGAACCCAATAGCAGAAGGAGCCTACTAGCAATGGCCTCCAACCTACTAGCAAGGGGAAAATGTCCAGGAAATAAGAGATCCAATGCAGAGGATTGGCTACTAGTAGCAAGTGCATCGCTACTAGTAGCGTCCTTGCTACTAGTAGCGATGCACTTGCTACTAGTAGAGGCTTCTTCTTTGGCAACCACAGTAAGAGCCACACGATCGTTGAATCTCAGGTCTTTGTGGCTTTGTAGGCGAAAAGGCGTAGGACCAATGTGTGACAGTATGTGGTGATGACGGGGAATATCTATGAATATCTGAATATTTCATAGTCCCGATGCTCACGTTAAAAAAGTTGGTGCAAAAATGGCACACACAGTGGAAATGTCCTCATATAGCGCAGACAGATGCACGATCATGATATTTCTTCATGGGTTCTTTTGCGTTGGTTACTCGGGGTGTTCCTGATTTTTCCCAGCGTCATGGGACATAATGTCCCCCCAGAAGAGCAGAAGTACTGTAATGTGTTTTTTGCTTCAGAGCCTGCCCATTCTTATTCAACCGGTTCAATGCTGTTTTCCCTTTGTCGCTGGTCCTTTAGCCTAAATGCCTTAATTGAAACAGCAGATATGTCATGAGATTGTGTACCTTTAAGACTCCAGGTGTGCCTAAAAGTGTTTATTCTGCAGAGGCGCAGAATGCTGGGCATGTGCAGCCGGCCATGCATTCCACAACTTGGGACCCTCAGTGCCACAGAGTTAGCTCCGTTTGGAGCGGGAACGGTCAGAGAGACCGCGCCGGTCCCACAACGGTCAGGAAAAGATGATGGAGCCAGCGGTCTTTATGTTCACCAAGCATGTGGGGCCCTATGCCAATGCCGCTGGGTAGACCGCACAGGTAGACCGCTGTGGGTTGCGCACATGGACGATTTCGGAGTTTTCATCCATAGGGTTAATCGGATGTAATACTGACAATTTAGTCTATGTCTAGACAGCTCTTGGACTATGAGAACACAACAAGCCATCGTGAACTCTTTATCATCAGGCTATTCGGCTGTTTGGAATTCGGTAGACGTGCTCCCCAATAAACTCGGAGAAGATGCAAAGCTCCTGGGATGACCTTGAAGATCCTCGAAGACTCCTCAAGTGGTGGGTAGGGACTCAGATGTGCGTTTGGCATGGCAGACGCACAAAACCTCGGATGCCCCAAAAGTCGTGGTCCGCAGTGTAGTTTTGGTGCTTGGTACTCTGGTTCTCGAACGGCCAGGCGTCCAAGTGAATTGGTTTGATTGAAACATTTGTCGGAACATGTGTCGGAACAAACAGAAAAACACGCGCAGGCTTGCAGTTGGATGAGTTTGCTGTCCTTTTTTATTGGTGCTGCAACTGTATATACTATTTGACAAGAGCTCAATATCACCAGCAAGATCCAGCAAGGAGAGGATCTATTTAATTACTCATGGAGGGAAATGTTTGTTGTGCTGGGATATTATTGTTGAGTTTGTCGGTGTGTACGGACAACACCAGCTTGTCACCAGCTCATATCCTGTAACTGTAGCAGAAAGGGAACATGAACATACATGAAGCTTTCCGTCCGTGGTTTGGAAACATATCAATGCCACAATCCTTCCAGCTCAACAACAGACGCCAGCGATGGTCAGATGATGCCCCCGTACTCTCAGCCCAGGTTATATAAGCATTGTTTATCAGAAATGGCATCTCCTGGAGTGCAGAACTGAATTGGTTAACCAGAACTGGAGAACAATCCTTTTCAACATCCTCACTGATTCAGCTTGGCCAAAACTTCCATGAGGGCTGGACTTGAAGCTCCCGCAAGTCGGTTTGAATCGGCAGGGTTCCTGAGATCCTAGGTCGGACAGGTCTTCGACAAGCTCTCCCCTGTCATGCCTCCAAAAGCGAAGATGGCCATGATGTCCCTGGAACCTCGGCGACGGAGGTCAGCAGGTGAAGGTCCAGGTTTGGACAGGAAGAGACACGAATCCGAGTGAAAAAGGTGGGAGAGAGAGCTTGACAAAGATGGTGTCCTGAAGACCGCGGCCCGGAGCACTAAGGAAAATCGCGCAAAGCTTTGGTATGAACATGGATGATAATAGCTAGGCAGTTTGAGTGTTTTGAAAGCCTAGCGGCCTAGCCTAGGTAGACGAACCCCGACTAAAAAGGTGTTTGTGTTGGTCACGTTGTGGGTTTGTTTTGTGACACAGAGATGGTCCAGAGACGGTCTTAATGTGTATGTGATGTGTCAAGTGTGGTTGATACAATAACAACATGCCAGTGATCATGGCAGAAGGAGTATACCTAGCCAGCTGAATGGATACATAATATATAGATTCGATCTATCCCTATACAGCCCCAGGTGGGGCGCAGGGAACATGCAAGGGACCCGGTGTCACCCGTTCCGCAGGGCGAATGGGCTGTCGACATGCCAACGAGCTTCAGACGTTTACGCGAGTGGTGACAGCGTTGACAGGAGATGCCTACGTTGTATCCGTTTACGCGAGGGTCAGACACATCGGTTAGAAGTCGGTTGAAGGACGTCTCCAACGGGATCAACATGCATCCACTGTGTTGCACCGAAGAGGCCAAGATGAAAAAGCATTTGACACATTTTGATGTTTTGGAAGTCCATTTATGTCTCATGGCCTTAAGGACAACCCGCAGGTGGTGGAATCCTCAAAATTGCGCGCTCTTCTGGGCTTTTGGATGCCAGCGACTCCAGAGGCTGAGAAGCTCTTGAAGGACTGAGACGCACCTGACCAGCTGGATGGCCACTGAAGTGGTGGAAAGGCGACAGGCCACGTTGACAGCACCCTGGAGCATGGAGAAGAGTATGAGTCCCCCAGCATGGACCCATTAACCACAAAAGAAGTTCTCTACACTCTACCAGCCATGACACAAAAGCATGCAAAGACAGCCTGCCAGATGAAGGTCTCAGTCTCGGGCGTCCTCGCGTCCTCAACTCCAAGTGCAGGCTTAGCCGCCGATGTGCAGACTCTTCGCTTTGGCGGTGTTCGACTCGCGAGGAGATCTCCAGCGCCACAGGGCTCCCAATGTCCAAGAGGGAGATGAAAGCCGGACGCGCGACCCGGCTCGTGAGCGCACGGTTTGTGATCAAAAACTGGCCATGTCCTGAATTAGGGCGCTTGTTTCACAGGGTCTGACGGAAGAATTCAGCTAACTGTGAAGTGGTCGATGCGAGTCTCGTATTTACGACCATGGCATCCCAGTCGACCGACACATGGACGCCCATGTGGCGAGGCGAGCCCTCGCCGCGAGCCACTCTCGTCGAACGGATCCAGAAGGACCATGGACCTGGTCTTCAATGGTCAGTGTAATGGTTGACCTAATTACTCTCCCTGGAATTCACATGAGGGTCGTCCGTTATTGCCGTCCGTTATAGAGCTTTGTTGGACAACCCCCACATGGTGGAAGTGGAGTTCACCAGCTTTTTTTCCGTGGATGGAACATGGTCTTCCGAACTCGGGGGGCAATCCACGTAACCATGTGAGTTCCAGGAAGTGTATAGGGTTCAGTCTAATGGTCAACTGATGAAGGTCACAACCTTTGACCTGGACTTTTGGAAGTTGTGCCTTTTCCATGTAACTGCTTCTCATGATGGAATTTGGAGCGTTCAGCAATGCTTCCCCGCTGTTAGGCTGTTACAAAATGTGTGTTTTTGTTGGTTGGAGTTGAATTCAAATTCGACGAATGTTTCCCAACCATCGTTTTAAAATCCTAAACATATATCATATAAGCATCCTCAATGGTGACTGGGAGGTCCTAAACGCTTTCGGAGGTCGGCCCAGGAGCTCTTCCAGCTCCTCCATCGTTGCCACGCGACTCACGCGACCGAGATTCTCCCAGGTCAAGGTCACCGCCTTTCCCCTGCGGGGCCCCATGAGCTTCATGCTGGGCCCCATGAAGATCTATCCAACGGCGTTTGCTTCCTTCGACCCTTCGGCTCCGTGCTGCGGCAGTATGGAAATCTATCACCATGAGGGTGACAACAAGATTGAGCACCTTAGCTGAGGCGACCGAGATGTTAAACAGCATGTTCCATCAGTTCCATCCCCCCGAAACCCTAAACCCAGGGCCGAGACGGTATGCTGGGGTCAAAACAATGGGCGAGGCGCCAGGTTCCGATCTTGGAGCTGGGGGGCACCCGCTCCCCATCGTGTGGAGCTGCATAAGATCGAAGGGTGGAGCATTTGGATGATCCCAGCATTTGGACATAGGATGCACCACGTAAACATACGTAAACCCCAAAGGAAGGGAGATTCTGCAGGGTTAGACGTAGACTGGACATTTTTGGACGTTGATGCAGCGGTACACATGTGGTGCGGTGCTGCAGTGCTGCATCATGAATTTCAAGAGGGGTTCTCTTTGGACATCTTTGGACGGCCGGAAGTCTGTCTTTTGCAGATTTTGACATATCATTCAATCTGTAAGAAACTCCCAGACAAGACCCATGGGACTGCCATAGGACTGCCGATCAATTGGGGTGGTGCCAGAGGGGTCAATTGATCGGCATATATGGCAGTCCCACGGAGTGTTTGGGATTTGTCAACACTTTGCCACATCAACGGGTCCTTGACGCCTTCGACTAAGTACACGCCTTCGACGATTCTAGGACGTGACTGAACCCGAACCCCAAGTCGACAGGGTAAACGACCATGGCCTTTAGATTGTGCCATTTCATTTGAACCCCAAGCTTGTTGCTGTCGCGCTGCTTCATGTTCCGGTTTTGCACTGCAAATCTGTGAAGAGCAAGGACGGACGCCTTCTCAAACCATGGACCTGCCCTCTTTGGAAGCGGCGGAACAGCGGTTCTGTCGCGATCCGACTCCACAGACCAGAGCTGTCGCACCCTTTGGTTCTCCAAGCAGCAAGAGCTCAGAATAGCCAGCAGAGTTCTTGTGAAGCCCCCAGTGTCGAGGGTGACCATGCAACCCCCGAAACACGAACACGTGTAGCAGCGTAGCACTTAGCACCAGGATTTGTTGATGCCTGTGAGGGCCCAAATATGCCAAGATTAGATTATGGATTCAGTGACACTTAGGAATCAAGTGAAGTCCCATGCTTCCGAAGAGCGCTGTTTTTGGTCATTTTGCCATCCGCTCCCCGTGCATCATCACAGGTACATATTTTCAATGGAGAACCCGGAGGATTATGCCTGGCCTGCGGATTGATTGTAGCAGAACAGACCGTTTTGCTTTGCAAAGGCCTAGACTGAGGGGTCTTTGATTGATTACTACGTAGATCGTGGCAGAGAACCCGGGTGTCTCCACAAGCAGGACTGTTGATTTTTACAGATCAGTTGAATCGGACTCGGGTCGCCCTCGCGATGGGACCTGGGTGTCCTTTTGCGGATGGTGTGTTAGTTCTTTAACGAACGCAATCGCACAGACACAGCAACCGGCAATGGCATTAGAAGGAACGATAGCAACAACGACTGCAACTCCAGCAACTTTCGCTACGGTGTCTCCTGTTGCTTCTGCACTCATAAGGCTACTGCGACTTGCTACCACCATAATTGTTCGCCATCCCTACGAAAGGCCTCAGACTGCCACCCGCCTGAAACAGGATTGACTACCAGGACGTCACCCTTGGACGCATCCACCCTGCGTCAAGGTAGAAAAAAAAAGGCTTGGACAAATAGTCAAGATAGTAGCAGGATGTGTCAAGAATAGTCAAAAAGAGTGAATGAATTTGGAGACACCCACGGCGCTCTCGATGACTTAGGACGTTTTAGGACTCAACAGCGTCTCACTGGCCGATCCGACCTCCTATCCGACCTCGTTGGTGAAACGCGGCCGTCTTGGTTTTGGTGGTTTTGGTGGTCGGCGAAGACCACGCTTCGTGGGAGTTGCTTCGGAGTCCCACGACGCTTCGGGACGTTAGGTCGACGGTCCACATGATTGACCGATCCACGGAATCCAGCTTTTTGGCTTCGTGCAGACAGGTTTTTGAGCTGCAAAGCATGTGTTCAAGGGCTTTAGGTCTTCGGTTGAATCTGTTGCTCAATATTGACTGACAGTAGCTTTGCTGGACATGAGACAGATCAGGACATGTTGAGAAGCTTGATAGAAGCCGATTCTGAGATCACTCTGGCGATATGAATGATCGGCTTGTATCACAGTGGAGCCATCTCTAGCTTCCATGAGTTGCTTCAGAATCCCTGCAATCTTCGTTCGAAGTAAGCAGAGTATGTCTTCGCTTCGCTCCTCCTAGGTCGCCAGGGTGCCTACAGAGGTGGACAGTGACCTGAACTAGGACCCGTCACCAGGGGTACCCAACTAGGATAGTCGAACGTTCGGGTTCTGACCCACCTTTGCTGGTGAGGTCGCAGTCGCGAGTCGTGCTCCGCAGCATCCTGGCTTCCGGTGGTATCTCCAGCATCTCGCAGGCTACACGCAACGCGCTCCGCCCATGGCGCCCAGTTGCTTTAGCGGTTGTGCGAAGCAATACCAAGGCCAGGAGGGAGTGGGGTGTCAACTCCCAAGGCAGGCCCATGGAGGCGAATCCGGCTTTGGATTGCCGATGGTGCCGAGTTTGTTGAGGAGCTTCCCTTTCCCATGCCTCAAAGGACAACTCCCATTGCGGGCCATACAGAGGAAAATCGTGGACAATCTGACTTGAAGGAAAAATCATCACCTGCTGCCCGCCAGATGAAACTTGGCTACACCCATCCAACAGCCACAACAACCTAACCTCCCCCAACTCCGACTTTTTGCGCACTTCCTCCAGGACTGAAGGGATTTCTAAAGCCACTGACCCATGGAGCAGATGCCTGGAAGGCCGGGAATCCCTGACCACTGACGCCCGCGCGCGAGATGAGAGGGCGTGGAGAGGGCTAAGGTCGTCGCGATCCCCCTCACCAAGAAAGGGAACCATGATGAACCATGTGCGATGACATTGCTGAAAAGGGCGGGAACTCACTCTTCGATTGGTGTGTGATCACATGATACCAGGTACCCGAAGTCTTGAGCTTGTGAATCTCATGTTTTCCAGATGGTTTTGACAGATCCTTCAAGCAGGGATGTTCAAGAAAGGGACATTCTTCCCGGCAAATCGACTCCGCAAAGATGTTTGGGATTTCCGTGCGTATGCTGGAGACGACGTGCATTCAGCATCATGCAGCAACGTCATGAAAAGGTCCAACAGTAGACGGACAAAACATTCAACCATCTTCAACCACCTGACACGTTGGTTGAATATGTTGTTGGTTGAATATTCAACCACTTGGCTTTTCCTGAACCATCCTCAACCACCAGTAAATATTCAACTTGTCAAGAACAGTTCCAATTTACTGGGCAAAGCCTCACTGGGGAAAGGCTGTGCTGACAGAATCTGAAAGCATTGGTAGGCATTGAACAAGTTGGGTGAAGCATGCTGGAGCCAAGGTGACCGGCTCCAAATGGTGGATGCCTTCCTCAATTTTGCTCAATCGAATGCCTCCGCTCATGTCTTTGAGGGAAGATTTTCTGGTACAAGACATGTGCGAATTATGGGCGGTTGGGGACTTCACTGGCCCTTAGTCAGTCCAGTGACCCGAGTCACATCTGATGCTGGTTACCTCGAATATGAAGTAGTGCTTGCACGACTTGTTGAATTCATGTGCTGTAGGAGAGTTTAGCCTTCTTCTTCTCTTTGAAGGCTGAACTCTCCTACAGCCCATCACACGTAGACACCACATGATACCACCACCCAGGCGCCAAGGTGGTCCCGCACTCGGGGTCACACCGTGGTCCCAGGTGCATGAGATCGAAGCGGCGGCGGTCACCGCGGAGGAGCAGAGTTTGGTGACTTGGGCGAACAGGTCGTCCTGCTCGGGAAGCAGACCTGGAAGGGGCCTGGTAGGTCAAGATCTCAGGCAGACTCGATGCTTTAAGCCTGGAGGGGGCCCCAATTGAACATGTGGCCGCGATATGCGGCTGAGAGAACTAGACCGGAGCGCTGTTCAGCTGTTCACATCTCTTGAGCAATTTATGTCGGTGAGCCTCCATGCTTCTTGTCAACAAGCGTGATCATGGACAGTGGACCTCTTCTTTTGGAGACAAAACTGGACCATCGCCAATCAATGGGGTTCTTCATAAGTGGATGTCGAACGGAATGGCCCTCGCGGTGAACGCCACCCGGCACCCCCTGGAGCGTCACTGGACACCCTAAGGCTTCCGAGCCTCATTTGCCGGTGCTACTGGGCGCTCGCGCGCCGATCAGTGTGGAGGCCACGGTTGTCTGGGTGATTTGGGGAAGTATTGACCAAACTGCCAGAAATGACCCCATTGGTAGTAGTACAACATAGATCAACTATAGTCGTACAACTAGCAGTCGTACAACTATTTAATATAATGTTGAGGTATCATGCACCAATGCGGTGCCATGATGCCATAGTTATGATGTCAGATCACTCACTATATCACTGTATCATGTGTCTCATCTCGCTGCGCTCGGCCCCTTGGGCGACCGGGGCCTGACCGGCAGGAGCCCAAGGGCGTGGAGGCGGCGAGAACGGAGCTCGGAGCAGGCGCGAACTGAGCCTGCCCCGGGAACGGAGCTCCAGAGCACCCGAGCTCATCCCCCCTGACTGCAGGGGTGGGGTAATGGCACTTGGGGGATTGAACCCGAGACTGCTGGATGAGGTTGATGGAACGCTTTGACCAGGCAAATTGCGCAACTTTTGGGAGACATCGATGTGTTTCTTCGAGCTTGAGCATGCTGCCCAAGTCGAGTGACGGGACGAATCCCAGTGGGCCAGTGGACCTGAAGCCTGGACGAGCTGAAAACGAGGGCGAGAGGCTGGCTCGAGGGCGCGAGAGGCATCGAGAGGCAGTGGATGCGCTCCGAGATGTGGCTCGACCAAAGAGGTCTGATGATGTTTGGGCGGACCCATCCTTTTGAAGGTCAACCCAAGCAAAATTGGTGCCTGCTTCCATGGGTGGGGTCTTGGTTTGTAGACACTTCGAAGGGGCGGCTGGTTTGACCTCGGATTCCATCGGCGCCGCCATAGGGGCCGATCGACCAGCAGCTCTCTCAGCCTTGACGACAGCAGCTGAGCTGATGAGGGGCAGGCAGCGGGAAGAGCGACGTAGCGGATGTGACCGGATGTGAGGATCCAAGGTCTAGCCCTGCCACCCCCAGGTCTGCTGTGAGACAGCTAGACTAGAGAGAGAGAGAACCCTCAAGATCCTCCCAGTGGAGCAGATGTTCAGTTGTTTCGATTCGCTGCCGCAGTGCATGTTTGATAAGCATTTCTCCACAGACTACTACGAAAGGCCTTAATGGGATCGACCCAAACTATATGGCTTTGGGTGGTTTGGATTCAATTCGACTGTTCCAGTCACTGATCCTGCTTGGTTCCAGGGGAGGCCTTTGCATACAACGAACAATATATCCCTAGCTGGACCATCCTGTTTGTGCTTGCTGCTTGGGAAATCCAGACGGGACCGGTAAAACAGGATGGTCCTGGCATATCCAGGCACACTCCCTGAAAGAATAATCATTTGTTTGGGTGGAGGTGGAGTGAGTGAAAACCACCTGATTGGTCTTCAGAAGTTTCACATGCTCATCCTTATCCTCCGAAGTCGGGCCACGCTGGCTGCCACTTCACGATGATTTCATATGATGTCGGAAATCGTCACTGACCCTTGTCCTTCCCTACACCATCTTCAACTGACCGGCATCGTTGGAAAACGGAGAACCTTTGGGCATCCGAAACCGGGACATTCCTGGGACGCTCCAAGGCCGCAGAGGAACTGGCGGCCTCACCCGCTTGCAGCACGCCGGTGCGCTGGAACCATGGCTGCTGCGAGGTGCAGGCCGAAAGTGCAACCACACAAAATAGATACAATATGATACAATAGAAATCCAAATGATTTAAAAGAATCTTTCATATGGTAAGGCCGGAATATTGATTTCATTAAAGTCAAGAAAAGTAAAAAAAAATGCATTGACAATGCAAACAAAAACTGAAAATAAAAAGTAAAAAAGTCAAACATAGACCACAGCTCGAAATAATCAAAAAGAAAAGTCAAACAAAAACCGTCAAAATAACAATGATAATAAACTTGAAAACATGTTTTAAACAATGCATAAAAACAAGTCAACCACTCGAAAAAGTCAAAAGAAAGAGTCGAAAAAAATGCAAACAAGTAAACAGAAACAAAAACAATAAAAAAAAAAAAAGCCGGATCTGTGCAAATTGACAATTTTTTGACTTTCTGAAACTTTCTGATTTGACTTTGACTTTTGGGATTAACTTTTTTTGACTGCTGTTGACATGTTTTAATTTTGAAAACAGGCTGTCTCCAATGATAGCTGTTTTTAAACACTAGACGGAAGTCCACTCAATAGATGCAAGTACACTCAAATAAATCCAGTTCACCCCCTTGATGAAATCCAAGTGTCGTTGGTGGTGGTTCCTCTCCGCAAACCTGTGCGAGACATGACACATGTTGGGCGGTCCGGGACCCTCTCGGGCGGTTCAAGGCACGTGTTTTTGTTCGGGTTCTGAGGCGTGGGATAGCGAGCTGGCCTCTGCGAAGCTGGGAGAGGCGCGGGGATTCAGCGCAGCCGGGTTTCTGGAGGATACAGCGCAGCCCCGAAAAGCTTGGCATTCCGATGTCCAGTGCATCATATTGCATCTAAATATCAAGAATCGTTGATCAGTTGGCTGTGGCTTCAACTTGATGCCTTGGCTGAGAGGCTGCAGAAGCGGCTTGGCATGGAGGAGTGCAGGTGGCCACTTTCATGACCCGAATCTCGGCACGGTGGTGGCACCAGTTTGGATCAGGGAGTGTATGTTTCTACTATTTTTCATTATTTTTCACTCAACCCACATCCCAGAGCTGATCCCTGGCAAAATGGCAGGGTTTCGGAGGTGGGTTTCTTAAAGTTGGCTTGGTATCCTTTGGGTTTCAGCCGGCCTGTTGGGGGCTTGACATGGCAGGGGTGGATTGGTGTGAAAATCCACGAAAAGACATGCATATCAGCAAGAGTATCAGCTAATGTTCCAGCCTCAGAGTTCTTCTGGGCCTATTTCCAAGCGTTGAACTCCAGGCAAGGTTTCAACTCAACCCACACCCGCCCCAAGAGATTCACCCAAACTCTGCAATGTTCGCACCTTCCAAACATCCCAACGTATTGCTCCTCCGTGAGGAGAGTTCAGGAGACATCTATGCTCCAAAAGGTGTACATTCAAAAAGCCGTAGAGTTCCCTGGAACGTCCTCATGGTCATGTGGAGTGAACTCCACCCGTGTACATTTGGGGATTTCACGGTGATCCTGGCTGGACCTTCCCAGGACCATCCTGGACTTTGGAAGCCCACTACATCCCACATCCCTGTGCAGGATCGACACCCAGACAGGATGGTCCAGGTGTAGGTTTGGTTGCAGATTCTCAGGACATTTCCAGGACGCCGCGGACTTCGCGACGCCACACGTGGTCTCCTGGGCCAACCACGCGTTGGAGACCTGGAAGACGCCCGGAAGAAGGGATTCACGTGGAGTTGGGCGAAACCTTTTGAAAGGTTCTTTGAGTATACTGCGGTACCTTTTCCTTTGTGTACGCCGAGAGAATGAGTCTGCGGCCGCTGCGCCACAATTATGGAGTAATTAAATATACAAGCGGTTAGTGACCTCTCGCAGCAAAAGTCGGGACCTCTCGCAGCTGCCTCATCGAACTGCGCTGGAACCAACTTGGCACAATTGGGCCATCCACGCAGGTTGCGAGGCATTTTCCACAAATCATCAAGAGGAACGCAACATGCTGGTGGATACTCCTTGAAGATAGACGTCTTCCAGTACGTCTTCCACTGCCCGCCTTCATCAAGACTGATCACAGCGTTCTTTGGCAATGCACACGACGTTTCAGTAAAATCTGTTCCGCCTCAGCCGTGGTATGCACTAGGAGCAGGTTAGTAGGCTTCACTGAAATGCTGTCGTAGTGCCCTTGTCAAACGGTAGTTACTTGTGCAGCAGCACTCTAACCTCAGAAACAGCTTTGTGATCGGGAGACGCCACAATGAGGGGTGGAGGTAGTCTGACCCAATTTCTGCAGGATACTCAACACCGGCAGCCAGGCCCCGCAGCGCACAGCTACAGCGAGAAGTTTCATCGTGATGCCCAGCAACCTGCTACCAAACGAGGTTTGTCGACTGTCGACCTTCTTTAAAGGTGAGGTCAAGTCTTCCTTCAGGTCGAGGTCAAGTCTTCCTTCAGGTCGGGCACGAGTCTGTACGGGTCTGGGGCACTTGATGCCAGCAACCTGCCGCTGGCGTGCTCTTGACCACGTCTCGCATGGTGGGCCTGCGGACCCGATCAGTGTATCCTCGTCCTTCGGTCCCCAAAGGTGATGCGGAAAATGACATCGATTGAACGCATGATCGCTCCATTGTCTTTGTAATACCCAGACACGACCGGACTGCCCATAGATGCCGATCAATTGACCATGATTGACCCCTCAGAAACCACCCCAACTGATTGGCAGTCACAGGCCTCCATGTCCCGCAGAAGATCCGGGAAAGTCGGCGGGGGAGCTACGCTGGTAGCTAAGTACTTGCAATCTCTCAAGCAGGTTGGAAGGTGGACTGTTCCAGTCTTGGCCCCATTTCTGCACCAAATTCTCAAATTCAGCATCAAAGTGGGGATCACGTTGGACTGGTCCAGTGACGGGTGGACAACAGTCGGTGCCAACCAACCGTCCGGGCGAAATCACCGAGGACCACAGCCTCGCGGCCGGCCTTGAAGCCGACGGGCTCAACTTGGGAGGCACGGAGGGGAAGAGGCAATGCCACCCCCCCGGGCTCCATAGCACTAGTGTGGCACAGAGAAGGCAATGTATTGTAGCATGCGGTAAAAAACATGAATATGCATAATGTGGACTCTTGATTCATACACCCCGCATATGAAGAGGATGTTCAATTCAATTGGCTGGGAAGGGAGGGTGTGGGCGCGCCCGTTCAGACGGTCCGCAAGTTCGTGCATTCAAATGGCTGGGGTTATTAATCAAGAGTCTACATTATGTGCGTGTTGATGTGTATGTATTTTTGTGTTCTTCTGATATTTTCGGGATGGGAAGACTTTTGAATCAAAAGCGAATTTGGAGGTGAATCTTGGGTGAATCCCTCAGCAGCACGGCTGGAAGAACTGTCGTCCTGGTTGGTGCGATCTTGATCCTTGTGCTGGAATTTCAGATTGATGGGTTGACTGATTCAGCGCAATTTGATGCAATTTGGAGGACCCACTGCACAGTCAGTGATTGGCTACGGTTGCATCCCCTGCCTCCCGCACCAGAGAACCATAAAGAACGTCACAGTATTCTTAATCCCTGACCTGCCTGACCCTCCAGGCTAACAGCCGCCAGCAGTCCGCCATGCAGCTGCGTGCCGCTGCCCCGCCACCGCTGAACATCTCGGACTACGATGTGGTCGACACGTCTTCGGGTGCCCAAGTGTCGAGCAACATCCCAGTTATCCTCCATCCACTGTGCTCTAAGAAGGTGGACACGCTTTGGAGAAGTTTTGGAGCAGCAGGGTAGGCAACCTATACCACAGGTAGACTCTTGATTCATCATGTCCCCCTCAGAGGAAGAGGTTCTTCAATCCAATTGGGCTGGGTTTATGACCCGGTCATCGCCCGGTGGAGCCGATCGGTGCAGGCGCCCCAACGCCCTTCAGGCCGACGGGTTGGAAGTGAGTTGCAGATCCTAAAGGAAGGAAGGTGCTAGCAATTCGAAAATCTTTAATGGATGTGCATACATATTATGTAAATATGTCTATGCCAGAATATACAATACTAATATATCTTATATTTTTTGTACATATTGCTACAGTGGTTTTATCATTGTTTTCTCACTGAACTGGCTGCACAACAAGCACACTTCTTAGACCCAGAGGGATACCCATGGAGGTCGAGGTCCAGTCGGTCGGCCGTAGTCGGAGATGGTCCACAGGGTCCGACGTCGGCTGTTCGTCATGCGGAATGAATGCTCATGGATTTCACAGCTTAAATGTTTGCAGCTGCAAGACATGTGAAGACCCCTGCAAGTTTAAGGTGTCCTTCCAACAGCTTTAAGATTGTTTCTTTTTACTTTTTTCGAACCCCTGCAGGCAGAGCGCAGGCAAGCTGCCTCCAGACGCACCCCCTTCTTGCTCCGATGGTGTTGGTGGAACAACAACTAGCCCCAACAGAAGCCAAGCCACGAAGATGTTTTTTCTTACTTTGGGTCGAAGATGGTCGAAAGATATCTAAAAGTTTGCAAGACGGATTCTTATTCCATTGGCCAAATGGCCAGGACATGCTTTCGGTGTGATGTCTTCACATTGTTTCATGCTCTTCGGCCATACCCAGCACCGATTCGAATCGCATGGATCATGAGTTGGGAGTCAAGCACTTTTGGGGCCCAGTCCACTAATCCCAGGGCTACATGTTCCAGCGGACCCCAACATGGATTTCTGAACCTCGCCAGGACGAGCTCTCCAGCAGAGTTCGAGAGGAGAGTCACCGGGGGATTTTGCAGTCTTTGACCCTGTCAGGCGTTGTGCTCGGGGCGTAGTGATGATTCACATCCACCCAAGCCCAACAAGCATGTCAGGTGAATTCAGCTCGGGGGGTTGCAGATCGTGGATGGCCAAGTGCTGCGTTTTCTTTTGTCTCTCAAAGGATTTTTGTGCCCCCTTGCATGGATGGATTGTAGTTATGATATGTTATGATCACATGGAGATCATTATATATGTGACGTTATTACATGAAGCAACCACCCTTGAAAAGGCTGCCAATACCACATAATTGTATTGCAAAACCATTCAACACCAACATCATCCAATATCACACCTACTGTCGAATGAGAAACATGACAAGTGTGGGAGAAGGCTTTCCCTTTGTAAACCTTGGACTTACCTTCTAGCTCCGCTTTGTTGTTTTTCTCTCCACTCCCTGGCCTCGCCTTGTAGATCACACTCTCGCGGCTCCGCCAGGATGCGGTTCAATGCAGGCTCTCGGCCAGCGGCCGGTCCACCCGCGGGCAGCTACGATGTCGCTCGCGACGCGCAGCTGCGGTATGCGCTGGATGCGTCCCGGTTTCAGGAGGCCAGATGCGACGTGAAGAGTGGTTGGCAAACCCTGATCACTTAGTTCAAAAACCGCAATGATTCACGAGTGGCAGTGGGAAACTCTTAATTGGTAGAATATTAAAGGCCTATTAGGCATTCTGGCATTCAGTATTTCATGAGATATAGTTAGAGGTCATCCGCGCTCTTCCAAACGCTTTCGCGAGGCACCCTCCTTCATCACCGTGGTGCCGCATGCTCAGTCCTTCACAGTGCCACCCTCCCCGGCCTTGAGCACTGCGAGCGCTTTGCCACCACTGCCCGGCCGGGAAGGACGGCACTCCTTCTCAGGGGTGAGCGCGAGGCACTCCTTTGCAGTGCTCCAGCCGCCACAACTGCCGTTCGACACAGGCATGGACGAAGGAGACATCCGACAGGGAGCGGTTTGAGTCATCTTCAGAGTGGCATCAATTCATGGCCGGTCGGCTTACCCGGTCAGACGACCCTTTCTGGAGGAAAGCGAGCGAAGGTGAGGAAGGTAATCAAATCAGACCTAATTATGTGATTTGTAGGCATCGTATCTGACAGTGTCGACTCAAAAGGCTTAGGCCTAGTCTTTCTTTGTCAGTATAGGTGAGATTTGGTCCGGTTTGGCGAGTTCCAAGCTATTCTCAGGCCATGTATGTTGTCCGTGTTTCCTGCGGCAGGCGCGGCAAGTGCCTGGGCGAGCAGTGCAAACGCAGCAAGCGCAGCGCCCGTTGAGGACGGTTTGAGGGATTTCCTACGTTGAGGACGTGTTTTTCTATTTTTTTATATCAATGATTGTATGGTAAAGGCCCGACAGTAGGCTGTAAGTGACAAGTGATGGACGATTTTTGGCAATATCCCTATCACCCACCAGTTGTTGTTGTGAAGTAATTTTTGCATCAGACGTGCACCATCCTATGTATAACTTTACAAATCTTGGACCAAGACTGTATTTCTAGAATCTAGACTAAATTTGGCGGACGATGTCATTTTCGTTGGGATCTTTTGTTTAGATTATATCAGCCAATAACAACCATCTCAATAATTTCATCAAATTAGAACGGCTTTGCCAACCTGTCCAGCAGGTTCTTTGGTGAAGTGTAGTGGCCAACATGATGGATGCGCACCTACATAGACAGAGGTCGAAAAACACAATGATTCCATGCCCAGAAAGAGGTTGAATCAAGCCCAGATTTACTATATATATATATATAGTTGTCATACAACTGTAACTTGTTCCAAAAAATAGTTGAGCTGAACCCCCCGCTCTAGTAACTGGAAGCTTTCTTGGGAATCGTTTTACTGGGAATCGTTTCACCTGTAGTTTAACAAAAAATTTTTAGGTCTTTTGAAGCTTCTTAGCAATAAGAAGCTACTATAGGTTGAAGGCCATCGCTACTAGTAACAAGAAGCCTTTTTAGGTCTTAGTAAGTTGACCTGCAGTCGCCGAGCCACCGATCACACCCTCGAGGCCACCGTCCTTCGCACCAGCCTGGGCGAGCGGCGGCCCTTTGACGCGTCCCATCCGCGGCCGCTGGTGCGGGCGACGTAGGCGACGGATCGGTGGAAGGTCTTTTCGTCCTTCGACTGAGGTAGCAGAGAGCTTCGTCCTAGCAGCTATATGTTCGAATTACTATGAATTAATGATCTACTCAGAGAATAGTAGCACTCAGTGGAATTGTGAGCTTCCCACACTCCGGAAACACTTGGGCTGAGGTGCTGTTCGAACTGTTCGGAACCAGTCGACCCAGAAAGTTTCGAGAGCTCAATGATTTATGGATCTCAGTTACCACGATATAAGGGTCTTGATGATTATAAGGTCTATATAAGGACTATATATATAAGTTGGACTATGCCAATAACATCCCAACTTATATAAGGGATTATCCCAGTGGATCCCACTTTGCCACTATAAGGAAGCAGGGTTTCGTTCGGTCTATGGCTTTAGTCTCCACTGGTTACCAGCGACATCGTGGCAACTGGATCTCCTGGGTATGCTATCGATGCAGTGCATCGATCTCGGGGGTGAGAGGTGCCGTGTCTCCTGTTTGAATAGATCGATTTGGAAAGCGAGTGGATCAAGGGACAGAACGATGTCAAGGCGCCCGAGAGACCCCCCCGAACCAAACTCTCAATTCTCAAGACTTATTGTGACGTGTACGCTTATGGCAAAAACAATTCCAGATATAAATGTATATAAGTATATACAAGTATAAATACCGCTATTCTTGCCCAAACCCCGTTCGTGGGTTCGTCCGACTCCAAGTCTTTGTGTCCGGCTAGGAGCTCTCCATCGGCTAGGCCCAGAACTTGTACAGTTGATTGGAGCAATCGATTTGATGCAGGAATTCGCTTGTGGGATCTCCCTATTCTCCGCGGGGGAGGCTTGCGGAGAAGCACCGTTTTTTGCGTCCAATTCTTTGTTCAATCAATGAACCTTTCAGCACTGTAGAGGATCTCAGGGACCTCAGGGACCTTTGGTTCATAGACCGAGTGCAACGTTCGGAGCCTGAGCTTCACATGCTGGTGTGAATGGGACCCCGAGACCTGAGACCGGAGAAGAACCGATGAGCGGCGCGTCCTTGGTGCTCTGTCGACTTGGCAGTGTCATACTGTATTATTATATATATGGAGTCCATGGAATTGGCATGGATCTACCGATCTAACCGTGGAACTGGGCATTTTCCGGATTCTTGGACCAATCATTCGCATGGAGCCTCCTCTTCTGGGGGTGAAGATCCGACTCTCGTCCTATGGTCCATCAAGGCATGGCAGCTTGCAGCATGACGTGTCCGGCACGGGCGCAGTGCCAAATTGATCACAGCTTTCAACAAAAAATCAGGTAGGATCCACAAGTCAACAAACTGGGTGATCTACAATGATCTATGTAGGTCAAAGCCAGATGCTCACAGATGTTTGCCTGGACATTTCATTGGGTACTTTGCTTGAAGGGGAAAGGTATTGCATGTCAAAACGGGTCAGGCTCCTGATTTGTTCTGAGCACAGCCAGGCGCTCTCACTTCCACAGCCAGCTTGGACCTGTGAACTTTTTTGCAGGACGATTGTGTGGCAGCCCCGTCCGGATGCAGGAGATGTACAGAGGCTTTTACTTTTTCCTGGGAGACTGGACCCCGAGGAACTAAGGGGAACATCAACCTCCAGGCATTTCCGTGCATTTGAAAAACCTTCTTTCGGCTCAGGTGTTTCTCTTGGGTGTTTCAATAATGTTCTTGACTTGTCTTTTTACACTTCTTCGTGTTGATGTTCTTTTGGCAACCCTCCTCCTCCAACTGTGGATCCTTTCTGTTACAGATGTGGATCCGTAGATTCACCTCAACCGGCTGATAGGGTATCTTGGAGCATGGTATTGTCACCTGAGCGGGGAGCCGATTTATAGCGCAGGTTCCATTGATGTGGAGTTCTAAAGGTTTCCCGGCCAATCTGCTTCCACAGTCAGCTCTGGCAGCCCGGCAGCCCGTCAAAGCATGGCAGCTTAGAACACGTGCCCCGTCGCAGGACCCGACACGTCGCCGGCACGTGCAGCGTCGTCCGAAAAAGGCAGAGAGAGAGAGAGAGATCGATCCCCTCGTCGACGCAGTAGGAGCAAGGATGCAACGAACGGAGCAAAGGGCATCGCTACGAACGGAGCAAGGACGCTACTAGGGTTCCTGGCCGTACTACTAGGAGCATTCTTACTAGTAACAAGAAGCTTCCTTGGGATTCGTTGGCTGCGGATCATGTTGGAACGGGATGGCGGACGGAAACACCCCCGTTCGATCGTCATGCGCAGTGATTTGGGCGCTGACTCTTGGCACGCCACCCAGGCCGCCCACCCAGGCGGTGATGTAGGGGACGACTCGATGGAAGACTCGGTGTGGCCACCTGTTCTGTTCTGTTGCAGCGAGTCGCTCCAGAACAGGGAAAAAACAAGTAATACAACATACACCAGGATGAAATCAATGAACCACAAGCCCCACAAAGCAAGAGCACCAGCAAGAGCAAGCCCTGACGGGTGGCCTTCACGGAATCCCCTGACCGCTCCCTTCCCGAGAAGTTGCTTCCACCGGTCACCAGGTCACCACCTGTATCTGGCACCCTGGCGAAGTGTCACAAGAAATTGATACAATTTGATAGATAATGGGATGGTGGCCAATAGACAGGCAGCGTTCTCCATTTTTCCATCATACCAGTATATAGATGATTAAAGATGTACTATCTAGTACAAGAAGATCCAGAAGGCTAGTACGAAAGTAGCATTTCCTCGGTGACCATCGAGTATGTTGATGTGTTTTCCGAGCCAGGCAGAAGCTCAAGGCTCCTTACGGCGGCGTCGGCCATAAGATGTGGCGTCGGCAGCAAATCGGAGCAGCGAAAAAGGACACACTGCGGGTCTAGTGCTCATAGGTGCTGGTTTTGTGCTGTTGGATTTCGCTACTCCAGCCGTGGTTTGATATGAAGAGTGTTATTTAGTTAGAGATATGTGTTTCTACGTATTTATATTACTTCTTCACGTTAAATCTATACTTCTATGTTTTCATTTATTTATACATATTATTTATACTACACTTAGATTGATTTCAAGTTCCAGAGATTCTTCTTGACCTTGGAAGCGGGTGCGACCTGGTTTTGGCTCACCTCCCCAGGTCTGGATGAAAGGGGACGGCTGAAAGAGCGAACGTGAGTCGACTCATGTGACATGAAGTGATTTGCTGATTTCGTGCTCGCAGCTTGGCTTTCAGACCATGGCACTGGCGGTGGGTCGCCCAACGGGATGCCTGCAGGAGACGGAATGGACGACTGACTCTGACCGAGGACCGCCGTGTGGCGAAGCAAAAGCGTTTGGGCACCGTATGGTTTGGCATTTTTGGGGAACTAGTAGCAAGGACGCTACTAGTAGCTCCTGGCATTTATACTAGTAACAAGAAGCTACTAGGAACAAAGGGAGCAAGGACGCTACTATTAGCCCCTCAAGGAACGTTGGCGTGGCTCAGAGTGTCCCTACTAGGGAGGAGACACACCGGCGTGTCACCCTCCCAGGGCATATACTTGCAATTGCTTGGTTGCCTTTTGTCGGTACCAGGACCGGAATCTTTGCATAAACTACAAATGGTCACTGTGGTTTACAAGCAAGAACTACGTTGCAGAAGGTTTGATGACTTCTAGTGGATTTTCAACTGTTTTGTAGTTGGATTCATGTTCTAATGGTAGTAACAAACTACCTTGGAACTGAGATGAAAAGGGCCAACGGCTGGTGAATCTCCGATGTGTATTCCACTTGGTGTTGCCCAAGTGGAATGGTCTGTAGGCCAAACTAATACCAAGTAGGTAGTAAGTTGTTGCAACTTAACTTGGACGGCTCAGGGGAGACCATGGACTTCTTTCTGCGCTCAGGGGAGACCATGGACCTTTCGGGATAGCTGGTTTAGCTGCTGAGCATGCACAGGTGCACACAACCTCTGGCACCTGTCTTTCACAAGCAAAACGGACTGCCGGCTGAGAACCTTTATCCATTTGAGCCTTTTGACAACTGTCAATTCTTTTGGTGCAAGAAGTGTTGAGACTCGACCCTCCCAGAGTTCCCAAAACTCTGGGATACACGGACAGTCAATCCTATTAAAGTGTCCATGCAGGTAAATGTTGTAGATCATGCGTGACGAACATGTTTCCCTACCACGGCACAGTCCAGCACAGTCCGGGGGTGTAACGCGTAGAGGGCTAGGCCCCCAGCAGACAATTACCCACCATATCCCACCATGGTGTGACATACTTGCTTTCCGGCACAAATGTGTGCCAAGAGTCGAAGATAAGAGTGGTTTTGCATAAGCAAAAAAGCAATTCCACAATCAAAAAGAGGCAACCAAGAAAAGAAACTTGCTTGACAGAGGGAAGCTGAGGCTTTGTGGCGAAACATCTATATATAAGTACACATATCGATCTATACATATAACATTCACATAACGTTTTGAAGGAGTGATAAAATCGAAGGGGACTGGGATGGCTCCAACGACTTTACCATCCTTTATCCCACCTACACCCCCTTGGCTCAGGAGTCCAGGATCCCAGGCACGGCCGGAAAAGCGGGTTTCAACGCGACATCGACGTGGACGGTCGGGGGGGTCGTCCGAAAGGGCCGAGTGGAGGGAACTCCGTGCGTCGTGAAACGTCTTGAACGTGCGAAGAATGCTTGGAGTTAGGATGGAGTTGGAGATGTTGAAGAACGGGTGTCGGACAGATGGCAGGAAGTTGATGTTCCGGAGTCACCAAGAGAGAGAGGGAGAGAGAATTTGTATGTAGACCTGGCACAGATGCTAGGAGAAAAGGTTTTTCAATCCAGTTCAGTTGGACTGGTTGACCATTGATATACAAAAAGAACAATGTGCAGGCCTTTCCAGGTGAAGGGATCGGTTGATTGGTTGTTCAGTGGCCAGACCGTTGTTTCAAAGGTGAAGTGATCGGTGAAGCCCATTGGAAAGAAGTCTTAAAAGTTCTGGGGCTGCTGCATGCGGATGTCCGACACACACCAACAATGTCACTATGTTCAACTTGGATTTGTTCCAAGCGCCGGATGAGTCCGGCGCCGGATGAGGAAGATCAGAGGACATTGTCAAGACTCCCGGATCTTCTGGAGGACCCTCTCGCTTCTCTCCCATGAAGGTGAGAAGCTGCACAACAAATCACAACAATTACGCTTCAATACAGCACAGCAACCTCCCCCAGAAGAGAGCTTGCGAGAGGGAAAGAGAGCCCAAGGCGTTTGGTTCCGTTCCACCTCGTGCGCTCGGCCATGCTTGGCCTCGTGTGCTCGTGTGGGAGGCCATCCACCTGCTTTGCGTGACCGCGAAGCTCGCCGCGAAGCTCGCCAGCTGTGGGACGAACCTCGCGCACAGCGAGGTGCCAACACAGCACTGAAGCCGCAGCGAAAGAAAAGACCCTCCCCAACAGGAGTCTGGCTATAGCATGTCAAGTCTGAGTCCATGTCACATCATTATCCCATAAGTTGAACATTGCAACATCCTGTCTTGTCGGGTTCTGTGTCAACTTGACCCCCAAAAATCGCACGACACCGATCGACACCTGTTAACCACGTGCTCGGTCTAAGACCGGTTCATCGGTGGATTCGAACCGTCGCCGACAATCCGACGAACCGCGCAGAACCGACCATTCGAGCAATCCATGGCATCAACCATTTGTACATGGCATCCATGTCCCGTTTGTGGTTGCAGACGTCGTTTGTGTTGCAGATGTAACACAGTTTATGATCAGCAATATGTCCATTCAACCTGTATGTTTTCCATGAAGGTAGCTTGGATGACTTTGGAGGACCCAGACCAGATGACAATTATAAACATGATACAAATAATTATGCCATCCTATGTGCATCATGCATTGATATGCTTTTTCTTATGTATTATATCGGTGATTTGTGGAAGGGACACGTTCACAGCTTGGGAACTAGTCCTCCCACAATCCAGAGTTTAAGCATGGCTCAGCAGGGGTCCCCAACACGTCTTCAGGTCTCCTGGCATGTAGCGGCCTTGCCTTGGCAGCCGCAGGGGCCGCCGCACGCCGCGCACGCGGCGTGAATCGCCGCCGGTGTGTGGTGGGGCGCCGGGCCAATGCTGCAGTGGAGGATGGTTTACCACGAAGAGCTGCCATAGGCGCTGTAGGGAATGTGTGTGTGTTGACTTCTTCCAATAGCACCCATTCATTCATTATCACATTGGATATGTTCCAGCTTTCGGCAGCTTTCACCCAGCCTGGAAGAAACATAGGACCCCCGTGTGAATTTGCCGTTGTTGATGATTGCAAGATGGCTCGGCCCGATGTTGATATGTTGGGATTTGAGGCCAGATGTGCGGCTCTTTTCCCAGGGTTTTGGCTGAGTCCGGCGCCTGGCCTGGCGAATTCAATGATCTTTAATCTAGATCCTCTCAAGAGAGAGATCCAGGCCCTTGGGACACTGTGAACCAGGCCCAAGGGACCTGGGCCTCCCTCTCCCCAACCGCCCTATCGCGGTACCGCCCCAACCGCAGGTGTGGCGGGTCTGGCGTTCACCGTGCTCGGCTTGAAGCGCTTCGCCATCGATGGGCCTCCGGAGTTCGATCCGCAGCCCAGCTCGCTGCAAGGGAAGACGGTGGTGATCACCGGAGGGAACACAGGCGGAGAGGAACCGCCGTCGCGAGTTCCGTTCGGAGTTCGGTGTGGGCGGGTTGGGGCCAGGCGGCCAGGAGTTCGTTCGGGATGTTCGGTAGGTCTGGGTTTGGGGTGAAATCGTTTTGCAGGATTTTGCAGGTTGGCTAGCGGCTAGCGGCTATAGCGGCTAGGGGGAATGGACTAGTTTAGTATAGTGATGTATAGTCTATGTATACATATATATATATATGTATATGTATGGTGTTCTTCTTGCCAAGTCTTGCGATTGCTGTATTGTGATTTTGATGTATGTGTGTACTTCATTTTGCTTCCACTTGAGCTCATCGTTTGCCAGTATCTGAGGGATTTTTTGGGGCCGCTGTAATGAGCACTTGTTTGATACTCTCTCTTACTGAAGCCTTTGTTCCCATCATGTAGGCCACTCTTTCCCCTCACTTCTTTTGGATAGCTTCATCATGGTGGCCTTCATTTGTTCAAGGGTCTTGAGTGTTGTGAGCAATCGCTTTTCTGGCTATGGGCAATGCCCTGAGCTAGATTTTACGGTGAGATGCAAGCAGAGGATCAAGAGCACCGGGATTTGTATCTCAGAGGATGCTCATGCTCACTTGAACGGATTTGAGACGCTTTGTCCTTTTGTCCTGATCAGTACTTTCCTTATTCAAATATGAGTGTTCCATCACTACCCCCTAGCGTGCCTGAAACCCCCAATAAGGTCAAATTGGTAACGTAAAATTTGCGACTTTCTGAAGATAGCATTATATAGCCCTATGGGGGGGGTTGGAAATTGTTAGATCTAAGGTTCAGATACCCTATGTGAGGATGTTGTTTTTTTTGACCCCCCCATCACAGATGGGAAATTGTACATGCACGGGCTCAACAAACACACCTGAGGCTCAAACATGTAGCTGTAACTTACAACGTTGACCTTTGTCTTGTCAGATGGAGGTATCTTATATATTAAAAAATCACCGTTTTCCACAACCTGCATGTTGACCCACCTTTGACATTTTTGAGCCCCTCCGGAGGGTAAGGAAGATTCCATGCAACAAATCCCACTTGATTACTGTTTAGAGTCCACAGAAGACTTGAGCAGACTTCTATAGTGAATTGATTTAGGACATGAACACACACTTAGTCACAGGTCCATCCAATGTCATAATCCACAGGGAAAGGAACGAGGGAACAGCAAGGTGAAGGGATCAGCGTACTTGAAATGTTGAACAAAGTTCAGAAGCTAGTTACTGAATACTTAGCACTCTAGTTACTGATTACTTAGCGGTTCTTAATTACGTGCAATAGTTAGGGAGCGGGACTTTAGTCTTAAACCGCCCGGGTAGGGTAGACTAGAAAAGGGACAACAGAAGGAAAGGCACCGAGACACAACTGTGTCGAGTGCCATTTCCTTCTGTTACCCTAATTAGAACTAGAAGTAAAGCGAAAACGAGTGGTAGGGAAACGAGCCTCAAGAACAACCTAAAAAGCTTGAAGAAACACCTAACAAACGAAGAAACCGCAAGAAGGAAAGAGGGGAGGGGTTGGCCCGGCGGCATGTAGTCCGTGAGCCCGGCGGCAAATGGTTCAGTCGATTCACTGGGTGAAACACAATTCAGTTAAACCATAACCCCAGAACTCAAAAACGCTAAATCGATATGTGATTCACGAAGGCTTCAGCGCCTCTCTTGCAAAAGGATCACACTGTTCACCCAAGTGGGAAAACACAGCGATACACACTTAGTCACAGGTCCATCCAATGTCATAATTCACAGGGAAAGGAACGAGGGAACAGCAAGGTGAAGGGGTCAGCGTACTTGAAGTGTTGAACAAAGTTCAGAAGCTAGTTACTGAATACTTAGCACTCTAGTTACTGAATACAGCAGTGAATGCCGAAACACGACGTCTCAAGACGCATGCGGCTTGAAGGTGTGACCCAAGGTGGTCTGCTCGTCCGGGAGGCTCTGCGTACGGGCTTCTGGGGCCTCCAGTGCCCTATCCATTGCCGAGAGCTCTCCCTCTCCTCGCTTGCCCTCTCCTTCTTCCTTGGCCTCTCCTTTGGACTTTTCCTGGCTTCTGTCCTTTGGATTTGGCTCCTGATCCCTCCATCCCCTTCATCTCCACCGGTCGTCCCGGCGGGAAGGGTTTTGAGTTCGGCGGCCACTCAGGCCAGGAGGAGGTTGGAAGGCTACCGCCCGACTTTGCATGAGCGAGAAACCGGCTGACCTGTCTGACGTCGTCAAGGCACTCGATCGTTTGACCCTAGCCGTCCAGGACCAGGGTCCTCGGCAGTCTCAGTCAGCGGCCGCTTCTGAGTCTTGGGAGGTGGTGGAGGAAACTCCGGAGGAGGACCCGTCGGCTACTTCATCGGCAGCAGCACAGGCTCCAGCAATTGATCCCTATAAGGGCATCGCCTACGGCGACTACGACGCTCTCATCAAGCAGCTGGTTCCTTGCCCTTGGAAGTTGGTTGATTCTTGCAAGGCTCTTCACGGAGGCAAGTTCGGTAAGCAATACCGGGCCGAGAGGGCTTGGGAGGCTGGACTTTGGGCACGACACACCTTGGAGGGTAGAGTTCCGAAGCCAAGGGCATCGTTCGACATTGACTTGGCTCCGACAGTCTACGTGGTGTTGCGAGCACCCGGGCTATCAGCGCCTACTCGGTTCAGCAAGTACGCTGATCTCCATCGACTCGTGGGCCGTCTTTCAGACCACCCAGACGTCGTCTGTCACGGCTTCCCTTCACAGGCAGAAGCCAAGATCTACTGCGAGGCCGCCGGCCTCGAGTACCCCCAGCCGCACCAATGGAGCTGAACGCCGGCCATGTGGTCGACGAGGGAGGCACCAGCCCCCTGCTCTTCAGGTGGTCTCATGGAGGAGGAGAAGGTGTTGCTCCAGGCGAAGTTCTGAGTTTCTGCTTTGTGTTGATGCGGAGGCCTGGAGGCCTGCTTTTGGCCTTGCCGGCTGCAGCGGTCGAAGAGGAGGTTTTGCAGAGAAATTCAATTACCATCGCAGGCGAAGATCCGCTGGTGGGCCCGTTCACAGTTCTTGCAGCCCCTGCAGTCTCCTTCTCCATCGACGGCACGGTCGAGGACATCGACGAGTCAGTTGGAGTCATCTTGGTAGATATGAGCCATCCCGCAGTCGCCCTTTTGCTTGGCGATCTTCCTGGCGGAGATGGACTAGACCCCAATACAGTACCCTTCTACGAGTGGGACTTTTTGGTCAGGCCTGCTCTCGATCGGTTGCTGGAACAAGCCCGAGTATGGTTGGCAGTCGATCGGACAGAAAGGGTGGCTTTCTACTCGGCGGCCGAGGAGGAGGCTCCTGCAAGGACACACCCGCCTGGGGTCACAGCTCACGGTGGCACTACTTCAGGCGAGCCAAAGCCAAAGCCCAAAAGGCACACAGTTGCTTCCCTGGCTTCACAAATGGAGACAGTGGTCGGTGCATTGCCGTCAATCATGGATCAGCTGGGTCAGCTTGCAGCCAGACAGACAGCATTGGAGCAGGGTCAGAGGTCGACAGAACAAGCAAGGCCGTCGACCCCACAGATAGTTCCAAAGGCCAGCATGCCTGTCACAGCCCTGCTGGGAAGCCCGACAGTACCTTTGGAAGTTGTGGCAAAGGCCATTGGGCCCCCTCCCAAAACCAAGGCACCCCCGTTGCCAGGGCCCCCTACCAGGGCCTACCGTTCCCTTCCAGACGACGATCCAGCCCAGCTAGATGGAGAACCACTTACCCCCCGGGCCTCACCTTTTGCGGAGGCCCTTCTGGAGCAGAGCAAGGCATTGGCTGCTTTGGTTGCCCACTTCCAGGTGGGGAGTGCAGATCCCATGACAGAGCTGGCCAGCTCATCGGGGACAATGGGCGTCAAGGGTGCTATGGGAAGGGAGAAGCTTCAGTGCGGGCTCAGGGCAGTTCTTCATGAGAGTATCCCAGAGCATGAGCCGGCGTATGTCGCCTACTGCTCCAGTGCCTCAGGCCGAGTCAGACCTGGCTTCGATCTCCATGCTGTCCTACCTCGAGAAGTTCGGGGGTTTTGGCCAGAACAGGCATCTTGGCCTCATCATGTGGTCGCTGGCCCACGTGTACGACTCAGCCTCTCGCGAGCAATGGGGGGCAGTCAAAGACCACCTGGCCATGACTTGTGTGATGATAGACCAGGCGAACCAAGACGGTGGAGATTCATGGCAGTTACCTTGGTTGCTGAGGCTCTTGGACGACCCTCCATCGAATCTGTGGATGAATCGCAATACCACGGCTACAGGAGCCCGGAGGCCTTTTGCTCCTCTGGTCTCCCAGAGTTGGGCTACAGTGGCTCTTGCTTTCCTCAAGGAGACGGAGATTCTCAACAACAAGAAGCAAGAGGTTGCACAGCATCCCAAGTCCAGCCCTCCAGCGGCCGCGGCTGCCGACCCAAAGGTGAAGTCAAAGCCAAGGAAGAAGCCGTGGCAACAGAAGCAGCCGTCCGACCAGACAGGCGGGGCCCCAGACTCCTAGTCGCCCCTTCAGCACACACTGCACACGGCAACCAGGCCGGAGAGAGCTCGGCTAGCTTTTCTCCTGCCGCTCCTGCTGAGCGTGGCCATGTCAGAGGTCCCTCAGCTCCCTGGAGCACACGTGCCAGTCACCACGAACACAGCACAACCAAATTCGAAGGAGACGAGGGTGGCCTCGATATGACTACATTGGAAGTTGACAAGCTTTCTTTTTCCTTTGTCTCCTGGTGCATGTCATTGACAAGACGAGTGCTAGCAGCCAAAACGGCATTCTCCAGGTACTTGTCTACCACACTCCATGCTTGCAGAGATGGCCCAGAGTCGTCTCCTACCGCTTTGTTTCCTCTGCCGATGCCGAGCTATGCTCCCTTTGCTGCAGGGGTCCCGGGTGAGTCCAGCAAGAAGAAGCGAGAAAGGGCTGTTGATCGGGCTCTCCACGTTGTTGTGAGCGCTCTCAACTACATCTACATGGCCAGCTCGTTTCCTCCTGTGGAGCTTATTCGGAGGCAGCCAAATCCTCAGCAGAAGAAGGCCCTGTTGGACTTGAGGCTGCTTTTGAGCGCGAATGACCATGGGCAAGTCATTGAAGTTGCTTGTTCAGGTCGAAAGAATTTGAGGCTGCTAAGTAGGCTACAGGAGCTTGCAACGGCAGTTGATGCATTGGGGCTCTCTACGGGACCATATGCAACAGGTCATCAAGGAGCACAAGTGAAAACAGACAATAGCAAGCACCCACAGCTCTCGCCCTTTACAAATCTCAATGCCGATCGTCTCAAGATTTCAGGCAGAGGCCAATGGGATGCTGCGAGTTACATGCCGCCTCTTTTTCAGATGAGCTACTTGGAGCCTCAGCTTCTGGAACTCGATGAACCTGTTTTTACCCGTGGAAAGCCTAACCTGGGCTTGGACAAGCCTGAGGAGGTAATGAAGCTCTTCAAGAGATGGGATGAGTTGGATTTGCTAGCTCTCCACCCGGCTAGCCAGGTCGATGCTGGCCCGGACAACAAAGTGAAGATCTTCAATGCCTACAAGTCCTCCGAGTGGGATCGCCAGATTGGCGACCGACGCCTCCAAAATGCAAGGGAAGGAAGAGTCATTGGCCCTTCCCGAGATCTTCCTTGTGGGCCTCTCATCACGCGGCTTTTTGTTCCCCCTGGATGCGGCCTTAGGATCTGCATCACCGACCGCTCCGACTACTACCACCAGATGGGAGTCACATTGGAGCGCTCTCGGTCAAACTTGGTGTGGCCATCGTTTTTGCTTGGCAGCTTCAAGGGCTTCAGGGCGTACAAGGACTACCTGGCGCGAGCCACCAACAAGAAAAAGCCGCCAGACAGGAATGTCCACGGAGATGGTCTTCATGGGGTGAGGCCTGCAGCTTTTGGAGTCGAAGATGAAACACCAATTTTTGGAGGCTTCAAATCGGTCCTGCAAGGTGACCACCTTGGCGTTGAATATGGCATAGTTGCTCATGCAGGATTTCTGGAGGCCCATGGACTTCTTCATCGGAACGATCGTTTGCAGACGTCAACCTTGATCAGACCAAGGGGCCTCTATGAGGGCCTGGTCATTGATGATTATTTTGCGATTGCACCAGTGCCTGTCGAGCAGCTGAAAAGTCACAACTACGCCCCCAGCAAGGCTTTTGGTGCTTTCAAGAAGGCCAAAGAGGCGTACAGTGGAGCAGGCCTTGCAGGTTCAGATGCCAAAGATGTCATAGATGAGGTTTGTGCTGCTGTTATTGGTGCAGAAGTTGACTCCCGCTATGAGCTGGCTTCTCAAGGCCTCCTTCCAGTTGGGGCTCCGGCAGCCAAGAGGATGTCATTGAGTTGGATAGCGCTCTCAGCGGCCAAGCTTCCTTACACGTCAGATGCACTACATAGCTCGCTTCTTGGGGCTTTGGTATCGGCCTTCTGCTTCAGGAGGTGTGGCATGGCCCTCTTACAACACCTTTTCAAGATCATCCCGCCAGAGGAGTTGGACTCTGAAAAACCTGTGTTGAGGCTGTTACCAAGAAAAGCTGCAGATGAGCTTGTGCTTGGAGCTGTTCTCTTACCGATCATGGTTTTGAATGTCAAGGCGGAGGTCTCCCAGACGATCTTCAGCACGGACGCCTCGAACTTGAAAGGGGCAGTTTGTGAGGCTTCGATTCCCAAGAAAGTTGCAGAAGCTCTATGGCAGTCGGGTGACTTCAAAGGTGGGCACACGGTCCTTGAGAGCCTGCCAAAGTCTTTGCTCAAGTCTCATGGAGGTTTTGAGGAGGAGGATTGGCGGGCAGAACTTGAGGATTTTGGTGACCCTTTTGAGACATCGCCGGCTCCTGTGGTTGAGAGGCCTTTCGCTTTGCTGTATGACTTCATTGAGGTCTGTGGAGGCAGTGGAGTTGTCTCAGAGTGTATGGAGAAGCTGGGCTACGTTGTCGGCCCTATCATTGATTTGAGCTTTTCCCCTCACTATGACCTCACTCAGACCAGAACCTTGGAATGGCTGCTGTACATGATTCAGGGAGGCCGGCTACGTTCAATCATGCTAGAGCCACCTTGTACAACTTTTTCAGCAGCGGCACATCCTATGGTCAGATCATACAAGCAACCACGAGGTTTCAACCAGAAGCTCACAAAGGTGTGGATTGGCAACCGCCTGGCCTTCTTCTGCTTGGTGCTCCTCAGGGCCGCCCTTCATGCATCAGTTTTTGGGCTGCTCGAGACCCCAAGAAGGAGCAAGATGGCATGGTTGGTTGAATGGAGACGGTTGCTGGAACATGACGGGGTTGAGGAGACCTTTACAGCATCATGTTCTTTTGGCAGCCCCTTCCAGAAGGAGTTCCGCTTCCTGACAGCAAATATGAAGCCTCATGGCATTTGCTTTCCATGCTCCAGGGACCACATCCACGTCAAGATTGAGGGATCCATCACAAAGGGCTCAGCAGTATACTGTCCCCGGCTTGCGAAAGCTTTGGCTGATCTTTTTGATGCACATCTACGAGCCGGTGCCAAAGCTTCCCTCAGGACAGATGTCAAGGCCGAAGGTTTGGAGAGCCCTCTCCTGAATGATGTGGTCAAGAAGTACAAATGGCATACTACTTCTGTTTGGAGGTGGAAAGGCAAGTCACACATCAATGTCCTGGAGTTAGCAAGCTACTTTCAGGCCATAAAGAAGGCGGCAAGAAAAGGAGGAGGACGTTTTTGCTTCCTGCTGGACTCCTATGTGGCGCTCAGAGCAAGTTCAAAAGGAAGATCGTCATCTCGTGCACTAGCGCCACTGCTCAGAAAGATTCTGGCAGTCTCATTGGCTTTTGCTGTGTACACAGCGGGATTGTTCTGTCCCACTCGTCTCAATCCCTCAGATGACCCTACCAGAGATGCGGTGCTTCGATCTCCCCTCAATGCTCCTCCCATCGTGGACTTTTTGGATCTTGATGGAATTTATGCTTTTGCTTCACTGCCGAGGTCCCGTCGTTGGGCCAGCAACTGGTCTTCTCTGTCGCTTGGACTTCTTGTCCGAGCCCGTGTCTTGCACCAGGGTTTTCTTGACCCTTGCTTCCGACTTCTCAGCTCTCGGCCTCCCCTCTCTCTTCATGAGCTCCTTATGGACTTTGATCAGACTCTTGGCTTTCCCGGAGAGGGGCCCCCTGGACGAGCTTTTTGTAGCTTCCTTTGTTTTTGGCTGATTTTATGTCAGCCTCTCGCGAGCCATGGAATGCTGCCGCGGCATCACCAGGACGAGAGCAGAGCACTGGTCAGAGCAACTCGGCCTTTAGAGTTTGGGAGGCCGGTGCAGGACGTCACTCGTTCGAATCGCCAAAAGCTGCTGAAGAGTTTTGCGGATTGGCTGGAGGAGCGTGGGGTGTCTTTCGACTTTTTGTTGGGCATCTCCCCCAAAGAGCCTGAGCAATTGGTCTCCTGGCTGGTCCACTTCGGAAGAGACTTGTATCAGTCAGGTAGACCTTACAGTCACTATGCCGAGACCTTGAACGCCATAGGCTCATGCCAACCGGCTGTGCGCAGGCTCCTTTCAGGAGCGTGGGATTTGGCCTTTTCATGGCTCCGCGAGGAGCCTTACGAGCACCATACAGCATGTCCATACCAGATCATGCTTGCAGCGGTGTCCCTGTCCATCATGTGGGGCTGGCCTCGCGTTGCGGGGGCCCTGGCTTTGTCGTGGGGTGCAATATGCCGCATAGGCGAAGTGGTTTCTGCGACAAGAGCTGATTTAGTTTTGCCGGTCGATACAGATGGATCATTGTGGACAGTGATGCTGCGTGTTGGTGAACCTAAGACCAGGTTTCGTGCGGCGCGTCATCAGTTGGCGCGCCTTGATTGGGAGGACTTGGTCGGCCTTGTTGTTGACATATATGGCAAGCTGTCACCTCATGAGCGACTTTGGCCATGGTCACCACAGGCCTTGAGGACTCGCTTCAGGCAGTTGCTTGAGGCCATAGGCCTTCCGACGACTCATGGGCCTCTTGGACGGCCCCTTGATCTTGGAAGCATGCGGGCAGGCGGAGCGACACATTTGATGTTGATCACTGAGGACTCGGAGCTGGTAAGACGGCGAGGTAGGTGGATATCCCACCGCACCATGGAAATTTACATCCAAGAAGCATCATCGACGACGTTCTTTCCAAGGCTACCAGTTCATGTGAAAGCAACAATCCACCAGCTGGCTTTAGCTTTTCCCGAGGTGTGCCGCAAGATGGAAGTCCTGCAGGATTGTCACCTGCCAAGTCAAACCTGGTATCATTTCTTTGCAGGACGGTCAGACCCGAGGATCGGGAAAAAGTTGGGAGCTGGAGGCAACCGAAGGTTTGCAAGACAAGAGAAGACACGCAGAAGCAGCATG